TCTCAGTATCGCCCACCTGCCTGGCCTGGCCGAGTGCTGTTCAGCTTCTACTTGTCCCTCCCTGCCTTCTGATGCAGGCCCCCTTTTCCTGTGCGGCCAACTCCCTTTGTCACCAATTTGGATCCCTCTGGAATGCATGCACTTACTGCAAACCCAAGCCACGTCCCACGCCGGTCTCTTTCACCCTCTCCCTGCCTCTGGGCTCTCCACACCTCACACAGCCGATCTACACGTGAGTTAACTGGCAGCCGCTATGTGCTGAGGCTATCTTCTCCATGGGCTAAATATTCTCTCTGCCTCCCGCCCTCCTGCTCTTTCTGTTTCTCACTCTCAGAGTTTCTGTTTTTGCAGACCTACTAGGTGCCCCAGCCTACACATCTCCCACTCTCTGCAATACACTCACCTCTCTTTCCCCTCGACTCCAGCTGTCCAACCCTTCCTGAACCTCTCTGCTGCTGACCTGCTCCTTCTGCACCCATTCTCGCCTTGATTCCTCCTTCATCTCTCTGTCTATGTCTCTCCTTCCTCCCGAGGCTGTAGCTCCTAGAGGTTTCAGTGTCTGTCCTTTTTAAGATCCCTCTTCAAACACTACTCCTCGGGGCTGGAGAGATGGCTCAGCAGTTGGTTAATAAGGCTTCCTGCTCTTGCAGAGGATATGGGTTCCGTACTCAGAACCCAAATGGCAGTTCACAACTACCTATAGTTCCAGCCCCAGGGGACCTGATCGCTGGGGGTTCCGGCACACATATAGTACACATACCTATACTTAGGCATACAAACATAGACATTTAATTAATTCACTAACTAGAAAGATAAAATTCTACTCCTTATTCACACCCTTAAGCCTTTTATTTATTTTTTCTTCTTCCTGGTCCTGGGGATGGCACCAAAGGTCTTACACAAGCTAGGCAAGAGCTCTGGGGGATTCTAGGCAGGGGCTCTACCACTGAGCCTTCTCCCAGTCCCTCACTGGGGGATTCTAGGCAAATGCTCTACCACTAAGCAACACCCCCAGCCCCTCACTGGGGGATTCGAGGCAGGGGCTCTACCACTGAGCCACACCCCAGCCCCTCACTGGGGGATTCTAGGCAGGGGCTCTACCACTGAGCCACGCCCCCAGCCCCTCACTGGGGGATTCTAGGCAGGGGCTCTACCACTGAGCCACACCCCCAGCCCCTCACTGGGGGATTCGAGGCAGGGACTCTAGCTCTGAGCCATGCCCTGAGCCCCTCATTGGGGGATTCTAGGCAGATGCTGTACCACTAAGCCATGCCCCCAGCCCCTCACTGGGGGATTCTAGGCAGGGGCTCCAGCTCTGAGCACTACCACACGTCAAGCTTCCCTTTTCTCCCTCTCCGTCTCTTCTGAATTGGGAATCAAATCCAGGGTCTTACACTACTTAGGCTAGTGCTCTCCCTCTAAGCTACAATTCTATCCCTTCTTTCATTTTTCACTTTAGGCAGACTGGACTCCAACTCACACAGTCTTCCTGCTTCAGCCTCCTGTGTGTTTGGGATTGCAGACCTGAACCACCACATTTAGCCTTTTTTCTCCAGAACTTCCTTTCTCATCAGATATATGCCCCCTGTGAACAGAGGTCCTGTTTCTCTCCATCTGCCTACCCTGCCCTCTCTGCATCTCCCTGTTCTTATTTCATCCCTGAGGGACTCTACACACCTTGCCCTCCCCTCTTCCCTCCTTGGGAACCCAGGCCACCTACCGAAACCGCTCCTGGCCAGCAGTGTCCCAAATCTGTAGCTTCACAGTCTTCCCCCCAACGTTGACCACCCTGGATCCAAACTCAACGCCGATGGTGTGGTTGGAGTCCTGTTTGACTGGGAGTGGGAGGGAAAGAGGAGGCAGTGCAGGGGCTCCTGGAATTCCCCCATCCTATAGGCCTCCTCCTCCGTTTCTGCAACCCAATTCTCACTGCTGGGTCGGCAGAGAACTTAGCAAAGACCATCCACCAAGGCCAAAGGCAGACCTACAGTATTAGCTTTATACCAATGGTACCTGCTACCTACCCCATCTACTGCCCACTGACCCACACCATGGCCACATCCACAGTTCCAGGGTCTTGCCAGAAACTCACACTTATTCTCAATGAACTGATGGAGGAGACATGATTTGCCAGTTCCAGCGCTGCCAATCACCAGGAATTTGAAGAGGAAGTCTGAGCAGATGGTGCCAAGATCAAGGGTACCCACAGGGAAAGAAGGGCACGGGGAGTAAGAGAGAAGACAGGAAGTCAGAAGGAAAGATGCACACAAAAGCAGGAACAGCCATACATAACAAAAAGCAAAACATCTACAGTGCTGCAGATAGAACTCAGGGCATCCTGCAGGCTAGGCAAGGGTTTTTCCATATTGACCCACAACCCAAATGACCCTTTTACTCATTATTTATTATTATTATTATTATTGATTGGAACAAAGTTTCACTGTGTATTCCAGACTGACCTAGCTGTCCTCAAACTCCAAGCAATCCTCCTGCCTCAGCTTCTAAAGGAATGCTGGGATTACAGTTATATGCTGCCATATAACTGTAGTTCTTTCTTTTTTCTTCTCCTAGTCAAGAACTCATTGTGTAGCACTATCTGGCCCTGAATTCCAATCCTCCTGCCTCAGCCTCCTCACTACTAAGATTACAGAATGTGCCAGTATATTCCACTTCTCTTTCTTTTTTTTTTTTTTTTTTTTTGGTTTTTCGAGACAGGGTTTCTCTGTGTAGCTTTGTGCCTTTCCTGGGACTCACTTGGTAGCCCAGGCTGGCCTCGAACTCACAGAGATCTGCCTGGCTCTGCCTCCCGAGTGCTGGGATTAAAGGCGTGCGCCACCACCGCCTGGCTCTTTTTTTTTTCTTACTTTAAGAGTATTACTCTGTAGTCCAGGCAGACTTCTAACTTGAAGCAGTCCTCTTGCCTCAGTCTCCCAAATGTGAGGATTATAGCACACAAGATTATTCTTACATAGTGCTTACCATATATATACCCAACACAGTCCTAAAGATCGTTATGTATGTTGACAGCTCATTTAATCCCAAATAAAGATCTAACGAGCGAAGTACATTAAGTACCCCTACTTTCCAGAGTAGGAGAATGAGGTCAGAAAGGCTAACCGACTTGCCCAAGGCCACACAGCTGGGTAGAACTAAGATTCAACCCAGACTAAAGGTCTCCACAATGCAAGACCTTAACTGATGAATTTTAAAGCCATTTCAACCTTGATTAAATTTGGCCTCCATTCCTCTCCACTTCACCTCCTACAACCCTCTCAATTCACTCTGACATTTAGCCTATTTACCTAAACTGGTTCCCTCCTCAGGGTCTTTGCACTAGATTCTTTGGCTTTTCTATATGTGTTGAATGCATGTAGCTGTCTCTGATTCTTTACTGCCCTCAGACCTCCCTCCACACACATGATACTGTATATTCATATTGACTTTCCAACCTTGAACCTCTTCTCCCTATCCTCTGCCCTGAACCCTTGGCCACTATCCTTAAACTTAAGCCGCATCCTTTGACGCTAAGTTTCAAATCTAACTCCAGGACATCACTCCAGACCTCTCAAACCAGATCAGCCCCACAGGATGTGCAGGGTTCACAGCATCTGTGCGAGGTTCTCTCTCTACTCCATAAAGCCCGACCCTTGCCATTCACCGTCAGCCCCGCCCTATTCACTCACGCTCCGCCCAGGAAGGCTTGCTTCCCTCCTTGAGGCCTACCCCCTACCCTAATCTACCATCACTGGCTCCCTCAAATCCCGCCTGAAATCTTTTTAACTCATACAGCGGTCTCCCAAGCTCCACCCAAATCGATTAAGCTCAGCCCCAGACCCACTTAGCCCTGCCCCTCATCGCGGCAGACCCCGCCCCCTGAACAGAAAGCCCCGCCCCATTTCCACATCCGCATCCTCTACGGGCCCAGCCCCCCGCTTCGACCCAGCAGCCTCACCGTAGGTCTCGGCCATGGCTCGGTGGCGACCGCTGAGGGCCGCAATATGGCGCCGCGGCCGCGCCTGCTCCTCGGCCGGCAGCCGCTCCACTCGGGCTGCAGCCTCAGCTCCTTTCCACTCCCGGACCCGGCGCCGCCACTTCCGCCTTCACCCCCCACTCCCGCGCGAGCCTCCAGAGCTGCGGATACCAGGCCACGCTTGCCCAAGGCCGGGATTGGCGGACTCGGCAGACAGTGGGCGGGACGGACGGCGAAGATTGGTGGCGCGAAAGGGGCCGAGTCGAAAGGGGCGTAACCCAGACGAGCGATTGGTGGAGCAAGTGGGAGGGGGCGGAGGCAGAGGTGCTGCGCCCCGCGGAGGAACGGATTTGGTCAGGATTCTGGGCGCAGAGACGAGACTCCGGATTGGTTGGACGTGGACCTGGGGGTGGGGACACGAATGCCAAGAAGTGGCAAGGGCAGGATGGACAGAGTTGGAAAAGCGGATCTCAAGCTCCTGGGTGCGATTTCTAACCCCACAGGCAGGAAGGATGAAAGCCGAGAGGGCACGCTCACGTTGCTCCCCATCTGCAACGAAACCTCTGCTGGTCGGGCATGGTGGCGCATACCTTCAAACGGGGGGGGGGGGGGGGGGGGGGGGAGGGCGGGGCAGCAAAGGCAGGTGCATATCAATGAGTTCGAGGCCAGCCTGGTCTACATAGTGAGTTCCATGCCAGCCAGGGCTACACAATGAGACCCTGTCTCCAAAAAAAAAGGAAAACGTATGTTGTGCGATCTATACCCTCGTCAGGATCTAGCTGGCTCATTACCAATAGTTACCGCCTTCTCAAGGGAGGAAAGTATACATATATTGTACTGTTTAGTTTATTCCCTTGCTTGTGGCCCCAGACCTTACCCAGTTTGGAGCGAAGGGCTTACAACAGTGAAACCCTGCCTAGCAACCACTGACGTTACCACATTCAGGGCACTGATTGGCTAGATTCGGGAACCTGAGAAACATTTTCTTCGCACATGTCCACCCAACCTCAAAAACCAAAGAGACAAACAGTTTGCAGTTGGCTGTTGTATTTGCATAAAGTCGAGAAGGTAAACAGCAGGGACAACAGCAGGTTGAGCTCACTGGCAGTAGAAATCCCATTTCTGAAAAAGAGGAAAGGAAAAAACAGTAGATAGAAAACCGATGATCACATAGCTGTAGCTGCAAGGACCAACCAGGTTTGACCTCACAGAAATAACCAAATTAGCCTCGAGCCCTGTAACCTCTGCATTTCCCAACTGAGCAGGGCCTGGTGACACATGCCTGAAAACGAAGCAGCCCTCAGGAGGCTGATGCTGAAGGCTAGTGATTGGGAGGCCAGCCTGGGTACATAATCTGTCTCAAACAAAAAAAAAAAGTTATATATATACATATATATATATATATGTATATATATAAACAATAACAAAAATAATTGCTTCTCATTTACGGTGAGAAAATGAAGAAGCCCTTACCCTCCTACTCCCACCTCCACCCCAAGACACTCACATCTGTCTTCACATCAATTTTGGCAGGTTTCAGAGTCAGGTCCTCTCGAACAATGCTACTGGGGAAATAGCCCAGGCGGGCAGCCAGGTCTCCATAGTAGTCTCCCTGAACCTGGAGAAGAACTTATAAGTCCATCTGGGGGAAAAAATGGCACTCACACCTGCTAACTCCAGTGCACAATCTTTTCTCATTTGAATCTCAGCTTAAATGTCATTTGCTCATGGCTAGGATGTAGCTACCATAACTAATCCTCACAATGGCATGTTTGCTGGCACTTTTGATGGCATGCTGGTTGCCTGCTGCCACCCATTAGAATTGAAAGGGATTGTTCACTGTTGTACCTGAGGCTTGGAAAGAGCTTGGACCCAAGCTGCCCTGTAATTGCTAAAGTAAAAATGCAATAGGTGACAAAACATCCTTATCCCTCAAAGCTCTGTTTTTCCCTCCAACCCAAATTTTCCCTTCAGATGGAAAACAGGGGATATATAAACCCCATACCCTCTACCCTTCCCTCTAACACTCTGAAGACTTACACTGCCTCCCCAGAAAAGCCGCCCACGGCCCTTCAGCTTGGAGAAGACATACACCACTTGGCCCCTGTATATGGTCAAGAAGCGGCAATCAGGGGCCACGTAGTCCTGAACGGCCACAGCCATGGAAATAGGATCTGGAGGAGGCAACGACAGTAACTTCAACAAAGACCAGCAGTCCAAGCCCTCAGCCCCCTGCCCTTCTCCCGAGTCTTACGGCTGCATTCCTCATCCGCACACAGCTTCCAGTCAGCCAGCTTGGGCATGTCAGGATCAGCCCCGCTAGGCCCTGGGAAAACAGACAGGAAGATGACACCAACGAGCACTGGGGACCACACCATCATGGACCGAGAATGACCAAGTGAGGAATGAGGTCTCCAGTCTCCTCCTGCCCTCCTTCTGTGCTGAGTCACAAGGAAAACTGTGTTCTCAATCCTGTCTCCGCCCCAAACCAAATTACACCCCCCACCCACTCCCCAAGGTTGTTATTCAGCCAGAACCATTTCAGAGACAGGGTAAGGGCTATGGGCCAAAGAAAATGCCCACCTGAGCCCAAAGCAACCCAGGCCACTCCAAGGAGCAGCCACCCCCTCAATAATCAGAGACCCAGATAGGCAGGCTGGACTATCTGGTTCCTTCTTCAAGTCATTTTAGGTACCCGGACCCTCCAGAGACCAAACTAGAGAGGCCAGCATAGAAAGCCACCTTGGAATTTCCTGTGCTGAGAGGTCTGAGAACAAAGCAGTTCTTTGATTAGCAGCCACAGCATGTTCCCAGGTACTGAGCAAACACTGAATGTCCGGCCTCAGGCTAGGCACTGGCCCACCTGGCTCACTGTGCATCTTCCCAGGCTCCTTCCTCAATGGAAGGCACGAGCTAAGCTATTCTAGCCTCAGAGCCTCAACTCCCTCATCTGTGAAGGCAGCAATGAAAGCCAAGAACATCCATCAAGTGTTGTTACTGGTGGGGTTCTGTTTGTTTTAGTGTGTATGAGTGTTTTTACTGCATGTGTGCCTGGTAGCCTTGAAGGTCAGAAGAGGGTGTTGGATCTTTTGGAACTGGAGCTACAGACAGTTGTGAGCCACCATGTGGGTGCCGGGAATTAAACCTGGGACATCTGGAAGACCAGCCAGTGCTCTGCTCTTGACCGCTGAACCATCCATCATTCCAGCTCACTCCTTTTTGAGACAAGGTTCTACTATGTAGCCCTGGCTAGCCTGGAACTCCCTATATAGATCAGGCTGGCCTCAAAATTACAAGAGATCCACCTGCCTCCGCCTTCCCAGTGCAGGGTAAGGTATGCACCTACATTCAGGGTTAGAATCAAGTATGTATTTTTTTCCCTTAGGGATAGCCTTCATTGCCTCAGGAGTGGCTATGACAAACCCAGTTCATTAAGAATTGAAGTATATAAAGTTAAGGAACATGTGTCCAAGGTAACTGAGCCAGGGAGGGAAGGAGATTTGTCTCGAGGTCTCCAAGCATCACTGTTATCTGACCTGACATGGCCCTCAGAAGGAATAGCGCATCAACAGATAAGAAGGGACCAGAGGCCAAGGTACATGTTTAGTGACCTCACAATGATGCAATCATATACCTTAATGGTTGTGGCAGCTTGAGTGAGAATTTAAGTGTCTGCTTCCCGGTTGGTGGGTGGCTTGTTTAGGGAGGATTTCTTATTGGGAGATGTATGTCACTGGGATTTCAAAAAACCCAGCTCTCTCTCTCTGCCTCCATCTTGCAGATCAGATGTAAACTCCAGCACCATGCCAGCCTATTGTCATGATCTCCAACATAATGGCTATGAACAAATTAATCCTCTTAAACTATAAGCAACCCCCAAGTAAATTTTTTTTTTTTTGGTTTTTCGAGACAAAGCTTCTCTGTGTAGTTTTGGTGCCTGTCCTGGATCTCACTCTGTGGACCAGGCTGGCCTCGGACTCACAGAGATCCGCCTGGCTCTGCCTCCCAAGTGCTGGGATTAAAAACGTGAGCCACCACTGCATGGCGTAAATGCTCTTTTTAAGTTGCTTTGGTCATGGTGTCTCTCACAGCAATAGAACAGTAACTAAGATAGGGTTCTGTGCCTGCTAGTCATGGGTGTAAACCCTAATGCAAAAAAATAACCTATGACAATTTATCATTTATATGACAAGGGGGGGTGATGGTATATATGCACAAAGCCCTGGTTCAATGTCCAACACCACAAAAATAAAAACAGCAAGATCAGTGTGGATTTAGAGCTTACATCATGGAGATTTACTTGAAAAGCTTTGGTCACAGGCTGAGAAGTGAAACTGGTAGCAGAGAACATGACAGCATGTTGTCTTTATGTTTGAATTCCCAATTTAAAACATGAAAGTGCTTCTTCATGCAGTAGATGTTTCACTCTAAACACTATACTAGTTTCAAATCTCAACACTGTGAAGATTCATCAAGAAATGAAAATCTGAAGGCCTCTGGGAGACAATTGACCAATAAAGAAGTAAGGGGCTGGGGATGTAGCTCAGTTGGTAGAGTCCTTAGCCTGGTATCCACTGGGCCCTGGGGTCCATCCACACAGCACTAGCAACACAGGGGTAAGAGGATAGATGTTCAAGGTCATCTTGTTATTCGGTGACTTCTAAGTCAACACAGTCTCAAAAACTCCTCAGAGGTTAAGAGCACTGCTGCTCTTGCAGAGGATCCAGATTAAGTTCCTAACACCCACATGGTGGCTCACAACCTTGGCTTACAGGTGGTGCCTATACATATATGAAGGCAAAACATTCATGCACATAAAGTAAAATAAACCTAAAATTAAAAACAAACAAAAACTTCTGATACAGGGAACTGTAATCCCAGCACTCAGGAGGCAGAGGCAGAGGCAGAGGCAGGCAGATCTCTGTGAGTTCAAGGCCAGCCTGATCTACACAGCTAGCTCATTCACCATATTGTCATATTGTAGAAACAATTCCATTTCCCATTTGGAGTATTAGACACTCCAAATGCAGTAACTTGAACCCAGCACTTGGTGCTTCCAATGTGTGCGGTGCCAGAATGCTTACCTGATATAAGGAGTGAGGATGCCAGTAACAGCAAGAAAAATTACCATTAGCCTTTTGGTGGGTCAGAAATCCTTGAGTCGTTTGACTTAAAGGTGGAACTTCATTGGAGGGTTGGACTTGGGGAGGGTCTGCCTCCAAGCCCTGACGACTGCTGAAGGATCCATTGCTCATAGGAATTGGACTGGATGGACTGTATACACTGAGTGTTGACTATGGTGGGTGGGCTCAGGGGGCTGACACAAGGCTCTTTTCCCGGCCTTTCTTATGAAATTTATGTTCTGTCTGAATGTGTGTTGTGTACGTGTGCCTGATGCCCTTGGATGCCCTGAGAGTGGAGTAAGACAATTGTGAACTGGCATGTGGGTACTGGGAATCAAACTCCAGTATTTTGCAAGAGCAGTCAACGCTCTTAACTACTGAGTCATCTTTCCAGCCCTCCCCACTTTCTTGCCATCCCCCCAAACGAACAAAAGGCAGCCTTTATCATTTCTCTATAATAGCTCTAGCTGTCCTAGAACTTGCTTTGCAGACCAGGCTGGCCTGGAACTCAGAGATCCACCTTCATCTGCTTCCCAAATGCTGGGATTAAAGATGTGAGCCACCACCGCCGGCTCAGTCTTTATCTTTATAATATTATATTATTTATATATTATTGTATTATAACATTATTTTTGCTATTCAGAAACCCTTCACCATTCTTATTTATGGTTTGGCTTAATATGGTTTCAGATAACCTGGAAATGTTAAATGGAAAATTCCAGAAATATTTTTTCTTTTTTTAAGGTTTATTTATTATATATTCAGTGTTCTGCCTACATGTATCCCTGAGGTCAGAAGAAGGCACCAGATCTCATTACATATAGTTATAAGCCACCATGTGGTTGCTGGGAATTGAGCTCAGGACCTCTGGAAGAGCAGCCAGTGCTCTTAACCTCTGAGCCATCTCTCCAGTCCTAGAAGTATTTTTTTTTAAATCTTTATTTATTTATTTTATGGGTGAGTGCTCTAACTGAATGTGTGCATTTATGCCAGAAGAGGGCATCAGATACCCCTAGAGATGGTTGTGAGCCACCATGTGGCTGGGAATTGAACTCAGGACCTCTGAAAGAGCAGCCAGTGCTCTTAACTGCTGAGCCATCTCTCCAGTCCTTTAGTATTTTTTTAAATTTCAAATTACAAGTCATTTTGAGTACTGCAGTCTCACTCAGTTCCATATCAGCATGCCAGGGATGTGAATTGAATTTTTGTTCACATTGTATGTGTTAACCATTCATCATTCATGTGAGGAGACCAAAGCTATGCCCCACTGCTTGTGTCCAAGTCATCCTTATTGTACTTCGCAGTAGACTCAAGGCATAGAACTAGTGGTGATGCCAAGTGCTGGGACATACCTGTGCTCCCAGCATGTGGGAGTCTGGGGTAGAAGAACTGTGAATTTTAAATCAATCTGGAGTATACAGAACACACCAGGAAAAAACATTTTATTTAAAATTTTATTTATGTGTATGTAAGGGGTGGTATATGTGCACATGAGTGCAGTTGCCTATGGAAGCCAGAAGAGGGCATCAGATCCCCTGGGACTAGAGTTACAGGAGATTATGAAGTGATATTGGTGCTGGGATCAAACTTGGGTCCTTTGAAAGAGCAGAAAGTGATCTTAACTGCTGAGTCATCTCTCCACTCTTCCCAGGGAGAGGGGGGCATTAGCCAAAAAGTTTCATGCTTTCAACAAGGAATGAGGTAAAAGGATTTAGTAAAGGAAAGCCAGGCGGTGGTGGTGCACGCCTTTGATCCCAGTACTCAGGAGGCAGAGGAAGGTGGATCACTGTGAGTTCAAGGCCAGCCTGGTCTACAGAGCGAGTTCCAATACAGCCAGGGCTACACAGAGAAACTCTGTCTCAAAAAAAAAAAAAAAAAAAAAAAAAAGTCTATGGAAATATCAGATTCTGTGAAATTGTGAAAAAGAAAAGTTGCTAGTTTTACCATCACACCTCAAAGTTATAGCTGTTATGTGATCAATGCTCAGTTGAGTTGAAGAGGCTAGATGTGATGGGAGATACTTATAAACACTGGGAAGGTGCAGGCTACAATAGTGAATTGGGGTTAGGTGTGTGGCCTGAGACCCCACCTCAGCCCCATCTTAAAAAATGAAAGGACGGGGAAAAGTCCTGTTGGACTCTTAAAATATGGATTCAGATAGATATGCTCTGCTTAGGGCAGAGGATTTGCTTCTGAAGCAGGTCACCAGTTCAAACACACAAGCAGATTTACAAAGTACAGACCCCACAGTCATGTCAGAGGACCGAGACTAACCTAACCACACACAAACTTCAAACAAAACCCATGTGACCACAGCTGCTTCACTGCACACCCTGTACTCCTCTCCCTCTATCTCACCACACTCAGGAGCACACTGCACTTGCCAGTGAGGTGGAACCCCCCCTTGCCACCTCAGGATCTCTGCACTGCCTCCAGAAATGCAGACCACTACTCCAATGGCTCCGGGTGCTTGGTCTAAGGACCACCTCAGCTTCGGGCCTTACTGGCAACTCGACACTGCTGTGCTTTGATTTCCATTTTCTGCCTTGGCTCCAGAGTTCAGTCACTGGTCAAGATCAGAGCAAGTGACTCAGTGTACCTTGACCTCTGAGCTGGCCAGGCACAACCTCATGGCAGGCAGAGAATAATCACACTCTGGCTTAGAGTCAGGGAGTTTATCAGGGGCAGAGATGGAACTGAACACCTCTACATACCCAGCACCACTAACAGCTCCACCCTAACATGCCTCCTCAGAGGAGCTTTCCCCCATCATCCTAACTGTTCTACAGCCCCCACCACAGCAGCTCAGGCTGCCAGGGAACTCAGGGCAATCCCCCATCTCAGCCTTCTGGGTACTAGGACCACAGGCTGTCTAGCAGCTTTGATTTTCACTTCCAAGTTTTATTCAGCTGAGTCTTCTGATTGCTGGCTAAGAGCCTGGTGGTGTTTGTAGGAACAAATAGGATCACTATTGATGATGGCAGTAACAGGAGTCCTTTTCACAAAGGAAGAAAACAAAGCTCACAGTGGGGACACTAACTGCCCACTGAGTGACAGCTAGGGAAGTCCCAAACTGCAAACTAGATAGGCTGAACCCACATGTCACAGCCACTAGGCCAATGTGGAGGGAGAGATGTTTCCACTCGACCTTCTGCAGTAACATGGGAGTCCCTAAGTGATGCAAGGACCAGCTTTGTCCTCCTTCAAATGCCATGGGGACAGTCTTCACTGAGCTTTTCCTCTTTAATAGAGTGCAAAAGCAGGAGCAGAAGTAAGAAGCAGGCTTTTAATGTGCCCTTCCAAAGCAGGAGTATCCTTGTGTCGTGTACAACTTGCCCAAATGTACATGGGGGTCTTGTTTCTGACCTCAATGATTTGAGACAAAACAAACAAACAAACAAACAACAAAAAAATACCTTGCCAAAGCTGTCAATGTACCTTAAGTGTGGTTAATACTGTTATACTCCTGTGTGTTTTCCAAGTTTGTGAACTCACAGAGGCCACGAGATCCCAACTCTCCATGTGGAGGGAACCAAGGAAGACAAGGAAATAAAAGACAATAGTGGTGAAAAACCAAACCTCAAAAAAACCACTTTAATCACAAGCTAACAGCGCCAGGTGCAATGTCTGGGGACAGACTCTGGGTACAATGCTGTGTGGCAACCACACACTCACTCACGGCTCTGAGAAGGCCCCCAAGGGGGACTTACCTTCAGGGACTGAGCCAAGGGGGAGGGAAAGGGCAGCCCCGGAATGGGGACTGAGATGCCCCATGGGGGAAGGCGCTACTTCTTGGCAAACGAGATCTTCATGGCATTGTTCTGCGTGATCTTAAAGCCTTGCAGGGCATCTCGTGCTGCCCCAGCCTGCACTTCATTGTCAAACTCCACAAAGGCGATGTCGTGCCGCCCGGGAACCAGACGCACCTCCTTGAAGCCAGGGAACCTGGGAGGAGGGAACAGCAGACCTCAGAGATCATCTGAGCATTCCCCCAATATTTTGGTACCAACAAAATGACAGAGCCCAGAGATGCTAAGCTTCCTTTCCATCATGCACAGCCCAGACCCTATACCAAAAGATTCCCTGGACAAAACACAGGCAGAATCCCTACCATAAACACTGTCGAATGAAAAGTCTTAGCAGCCAAACAACCACAATGTAGACCAAACAAGACACTGGCATCCCCGCTTCCTTCCCCCAAAGTCCACCCCCAGTCCCAGAAACTGGCACCAATCACTACTCCCATTTTTTTTTGTTGTTGTTTTTGTTTTCTGTTTGTATTTTTTTCCAGACAGGGTTTCTCTGTGTAGCCTTGGCTGTCCTGGAACTTGCTCTGTAGACCAGGCTATCCTTGAACTCAGAGATCCACCTGCCTCTGCCTCCCAAGTGCTGGGATGAAGGCACGGGCCACCATCACCACCACTCTCTCATCTTTATCGTGATTTTGCTTTGTTGACTCAGGGTCTCTGTAAGTCGCTCAGGCTGGACTTTTGATCCTCAGCCTGAACACTGGGATTACAAGATGCTATCACACATGTTTAACTTCCCTCTTCACTTCTGTGTGTTCAACAGACATCTTTTCCCATCAGCAGTCTCAAAATATGCAGTTTTGTGGAGATGGCATACCAACTCTACTGTTTCCAGCTTGATTTAGTCTCTCAAAATTTCCTTCTGCATAATTATAAAGAACCCAGCCAGAGGCGGATCTCTGTAAGTTCAAGGCCAGCCTGGTGTACAGAGTGAAATCCAGGACAGCCTAGGACACACAGAAAATCCCTGTCCCTGAAAATGAATGAATGAATGGATGAATGAATGAATGAATAATTGAATGAATAAATAAATAAAGAACCCAGCCACAGCTACACAAAGAAACCTTGTCTCAAAAAACAAAAACCAACCAAACAAAAGAACCATCCAAGCCCAGATATAGGTCACACCTGAGAGACGGAGACAGGAGGATGGCTAGCCCGAGCTATATAAACTGCCAGTTTTTAATCATAAAGAAGCAGAGGGGAGGGGCTGGAAAGGACCCAGCAGTTAAGAGCAAGAACTGATCTTGCAGAGAACCCAAGTTCGGTTCCTAGCACCAACGTCAGGCAGCTCAAAACTACCTAAAACTCCAGCTCAGGGACAGCTGATGCTTCTGACACATACACACAGGCACATGTACAACTAAAACTAAAACTAAGAAAATCTTTAAAAACCTTCCATGCTCCAGGACTGACCCTCCCTGCACAGCACAGACAAGCCTGACGGCCTCTTTAGATGGTATCAAATACCACCCCCACCTTGGGTCTCACGTGGCCCAGGTGACATAGTAGAGAAGGACCCCGACCTCAATCCTCCTCTTCAGCCTTCCAAGTACAGAGACTGCCTGCGTCCACTGCTACTACACCCAGGGTTGACAAGACACTTCTGTAAGAGGTGCTCAGAGACATGCGGGTAGGAATACTCAGCCCTATCCTCCACTCAAGGTCCACAGGTTCCATCACACTGGAAGGGTCGGAGTTCCTAGTGTACCCAGTGCCCCTTGCCATTTTTGGAACAGGCTGGCTCGCGCTGGTCTAAACCAGCTCCACATTTGCTCCTCTTTTGTTTTTCCCTTGTTCTACAATGTCACAGACACAAAAGGCAGTCCAAGACCCAAAACACATGGTACCCACAGCACTGTGTGCCCCTATGACCCATCTTCCTTTCCCCTTTCACACTTTCAGACACTAGAATGGCCACCGGAACCCCGGAACCCACCCGCCCAGCCAGAAGCCCCACTCACTGATTGAAAAGCATGGACAGCATGAGCTCGTTGGTCTCCTCAGGCAGGTTGGTGAGGAACAGAATGTGATTGGGTGGATTCTCGGAGAGCTGTGGGGAGACAGCTGCCAATGAGCAGGAGTACCCGAGAAGGATGCCTCTGCTCAGTCTTTCTCACATATTCGCTAATGCGCACAATGTCATCCATCTCCCCACAGCCGGTGCCCCCAGAGATGGCAGGCCCAAGGCAGCAGAGACCTGCCAGCTTCTGCCACTACTGTGTGCTGGGGCTAGGACAGGACATGGTACACAGCTGGTGCCCTAGTGCATGCACTACACCTGACTGCAGACCTTGATTAGCCTCATCCTGCTTCCCCGACCAACATACAGGCCAACCCCTCTCTGTCCCAGGATGGTTCAGCACTCATGGAGCTCAGCTCCAGTGCCACCTCCCACCTGACCTAAGAGCCCCATGTAATTGCTCCACTTCTATTAGAAGACAATGCTTGTGAGACCTGGGGTGGGGTTGGGGGGTTACTTACAGGCTGGGCAGGCGGCATCTGTCCAGGCATGAGCTGCTGTGGGGGCATGGCCCCAGGGGGGATCTGGCCAGGAGCAAGGCCCGGTGGCGGGATCATGCCAGGTGGTGGCATGTAAGGAGGCTGGCCTGGCATGTGGTGCATAATGCGGGGTGCCTGAGTCATCGGTGGCATACCCTGTGGAGAAGAGAGGTAGGTCAGGGAAGGAAAGGTCACAGAGATGAGAGACAGGAAGAGAAAGACCCACACCTGAAAAGATAAAAAAAAAAAAAAAAAAAAAAAAAAAAACCCAGCACCAACAAACACCAAAGACTTGGATTCAAGAAGGAATGCTAAACCAGAAAAAGGGTTTTGAAACAGTTAAAGGTACAATTAAAGCATGGCCCAACTTTGTTCAATGTATAAAAAGAAACTAGAGGGGAGCTGAAGAGATGGCTCAGTGGTTAGGAGTAGGTACCACAACAATTTGGTTCCCATCACCCAGTCAGGCAGCTCACAACTTCCTGTGATTCTGGCTCCAGAGGACCCAACGCCCTCTTCTGGCCTCCACAGGCATTGCACTCATGTGCACATACACCAGATACAGTCCCAAATAAAAAGTAACCCCCCATCCTTTTAGTGAGGCCATGGCTCACTATGCAGCATGGCTGGCCTGAACACAAAGGCTCTGCCTACCTTGTGCTGGGATGAAACGTGTGTACCACCACACTTGGCCCAAATATTAGGTCTTCAAAGGAAAAAGAAAAGAGGACTGGAGAGGTGGCTCAGTGGTTAAGAGCACTGCCTGTTATTCTAGAGGACTAGGGTTCAATTCCCAGCAACCACATGGCAAATCACCAACACAAAAGTATAAAAAACAAACATAAAAAACAGGAAATCTAAAAAAGGAAAGAAATGAGAGCTAGCAACACAGCTCAGCAGGCAAAGGCACCTGCCTCCAAGTCCGACAACCTGAGTTCAACCTCCAGGACCCACCTGGTAGAAGAGAACTGACCTCGACCTCTGCTCAGGTCCCATGGCATGAACACTCACAAAGACACACAATGAGCAAAAATGTAATTTAAAAATGAAAACAAATCAAAGGTGGGAAAGGTGAGAAGAGAAGGAATGATCAGCTGGACAAGCCAAAGACACAGACACCACCACTAGCTGCAAAGTGCAACCCAGCCTGAGAGCCATGAGACAAAGACTCCTGAGAGCCATGAGACAAAGACTCCTGAGAGTCAGAGGCTGAAGGAGGAGTCAAAATTCAGCCATCTTCTCTTTTATGCACAGTGCTTCTGGTGCCCTGCACAGACTGACATTCCACTTCTCATGTACTCACCAAGGTCACAAAGACATTTTGAAGGTCCCTTTAGAACCTTTATCAGGTCTGCTGTCATATTCAGGGCCATGATTCAGCTCAAGTTAACTTTTCTCAAATGAGGCCCAGCGTGACCTCAAACTTCTGATCCCTGCCTCAACCTCCCAAGCACTAGAATTGCAGGTGTGTGCTACCACCCCTGGCATGAGTTAACTTTTATGTTGCTGGGGAATGAACCCAGGACCTCGTGGGAGCTAGGTGAGCAGGCTACCACTGAGCCACATCCCTAGCCCTATGCAGGGCTATGCTTTTCTCTTATAGATCCAATTTCCCTGCATCAGAACTGCAGGGATTCCTTAGGGCAAGTTTCTAGACTCTGTTCTGCCCCATTAGCTTATCTCGCTATCCATAGGCCTATGGCAGGTCATCTTGAAGGCTAGAACTCTAAAACCCTCTTCAGTCCTGGGTAACTCTCCCGAACTGGCTCCCTCCTCCTACCATGGGACCAAGGACTGAACTCCAGTTGCCAAGCGAGCACTTTTAACAGCAGAGCTGTAGCTGTCACGCTGGCTTCCCCACAGCAGTGTGCAGCACCACAGGGAGCCTCCTACCCAACTATGGTGGTTTCACCTTTGGATTGCCCTCCGTGTGTGATTTCTTTGCTTATTAACATAGAGAAACAACTCCTTCTTCTTCATTCTCCTCCTGCTTGTAGTTCTAGGGGCTGAATGCAGGGCTCCCACAGGCTAAACTGATTTTTTTTTTACTTTATAACCCAGTAGTTTCTCCAAATTAAATATGCCTATTATTTCTAACAGGAGACTGATAACTTTTGACTTTCTATAAAGCCACTGACTTAGCGCAAGTGTACGCGCAGGGACACACAGACACAGATGTGCTAGCACACGTGTGCGCGCACACAGACACACACATAAGTAAAGATACACAGAACAAAACCAAAATCAAGGAGGCAAGTGTGCAAAGGATAGACCATCAAAACCAATCAAGTACACGCTGGGGAACAGGCCCTCAAAAGACACTCCTCTATCCACACGGTTCACCCGACCCAGTGGAACAAGTCCCCTCGATCTACCGCCACACAAGGCCACGTGGCTGAAGGCCTGACAGAGAGAGACATGTTCCTGCGTGCCAGCTTACCGGAACAGGCTGGACAGCGCCCACCACGGGGGCAGCAGCCCCACCCTGAACAGCCTTTTTGGCAGCTGGTGTCTCCTGACTCTTGGGCTTCCTCTTCTCTCGTTTGCGGTCTCTCTCCACAAAGGTACCCTTCATCTTGGCAATGATGTCTGAGTCAGTCTTGGCGTACTGGATGCGCTATCAATCAGAACAGACAGGTCAAGGTCATGAAAACCAGAGAAGACTGCCAGAGTTCAAAATGAGACCTCATGAGCAGCTCGCTAAGAAAAACTATAGATTGCTTGGCCACAACTTCCTCATCTGTAAAATGGGGATACTTTCCATTTGGCAGGATTGTGGTAGAAACTTAATAGGTCTAAGGGCCTGGAAGCAGCAGTACCTGGACTACAGTAAGCTGGTATCTGTAAGCCGGGGTAGGTGCTTACAGGCTCTCCTATGAAGAACCCAGACATATGCTCAGACACATAAAAATAAGATACTTAAAAAGGAAAACCTTAAAAAAATTTTGAGACAGAGTCTCACTATGTAGACTTGGATGGCCTGGAACTCCCTATATAGAACAGGCTGGCCTAGAACTCATCTGCCTCTGTCTCCCTAGAAGTAAAAGCATGCCCTACCATGCCCAGCAATAAATAATTTTATTTTTAAAGTCCCATGCTCAGAAGGGGACCTGGAGTGCTGCAGAGTGAACTTTGCAACTCCAATGCTTAGGAAAGAGGAACCACAAAGGATGGGGATCAAAGCCCATGAACACATGGAGCGTGTAGCCAGAGAACAGCCAGGGAGCTAAGGGATGAAAAGAGCTGGGCCTGGGACTCTAGCTGCTCAAGAGACTGAGGCAGAGGGATACTAAGTTCCATTTCTGCCTGGCTACACTGAGGAGGATTAGAGGGGGAGCAGGTAAGGTCACAAGGACAAAGGGGGAGCCTTTGTACTTTTCTTTTTTTGTTTGTTTTTTTGAGACAGGGTTTCTCTGTGTAGCTTTGTGCCTTTCCTGGAACTCTTTGTAGACCAGGCTGGTTTCGAACTCACAGAGATCCGCCTGCCTCTGCCCCCCCAACCCCCAATGCTGGTATTAAAGGCATGCGCCACCACTGCCCGGCGCCTTTGTGCTTTTCTAAGCAGGGGAGGCAGTGTTGTGATGAGTGATGAGCACTCTCAAAAGGCCCTGTGGTGTGGAGACAGGCCTGGGTGGGTGGAGCCAAGGGAAGAACAAGGCTTGGTCAGAATAGGAGCCAAGTGATAAAGGCAGCAGGGAGAACACTCTGTAGGTTTGGAAGAAGAGCGGGGCTTAGGGAATCCTTTGTTCACTTTGGTTTGGGCCTATTTTTGGAAGAATGTTAGGCAAGCTCCCATTCTATACTCCAGGTTGGGTTGGAACGGCTGGCAATCTTCTTGCCTCAGACTCCTGCATGAGCCACTGTGCTCAGTTTCTTGATCATTCTGTGTCCCCACAGCCCCAGTATAAGGAACACGGAATGTAAAGGAACAGCAAGAGAAAGTAGCATGCTGAGGGAACACTACGGTCACAGGTCCACACCCACCTAGTCTCCTGCAGCACACATACACACAAACAACCTTCATATTCAACATGCTCACCATGGGCTTGTCGTAGAAGGGGAAACCTTGCATGGAACGCAGGGCATTAGTGGCGCTGCTGACCTCCTTGAAGATGACAAAGGCCTGGCCCCTCATCTTCAGGCTCCGAGACACCAGGATATCCAGGATCTGGCCAAACTGGGAGAAGATGGCATACAGGGACTTCTTGAGCTCTGCATTCAGGGAAGACAAGACACACTGTGACAAAAGGCCGAGGCACTGTGTCCTGGGATTTGTACTATCCTTAGAGAATGGACAGCCCAAATGAGGATCCACCTGCCAACTGACACAATACCCAGAATGCTACAGCTCAAGAACCCACAATTGCTGGGTAGTGGTGGCACAGACCTTTAATCCCAGCACTCGGGAAGCAGAGGCAGATGGATCTCTATGAGTTCAAAGTCAGCGTGGTCTACAGAGCAAGTTCTGGAACAGTCAGGTTTACACAGAGAAACCCTGTATTGAAAAAGCCAAAAAGAAAGAAAAAAAGAAGAAAAAAAAAAAGAACCCGCAATAAGAGAGACAGCCTAGAACTACTCAAGTGGACATGTTCACATGACCCCACAGCTGCAGTACCTGCTCTACACTCGCTGTTGAAAAAGCAAGCACAAGTACTTCTCGCCATCAGGTCTCCCGCTAAGCTAGCCTCCGGGTCCTGTCTTAACCTGACGTGCCTTTTTTAAAATTTGAGATGGAGTCTGATTCTAGAACCTCAAACTCTGAGCAACCACCCTGCTCCGGTCTCTGAATCACAAGCATGACCTAGCCTCTAGCCACACCTTAGCCTTTGCACTCTCTTCATGGAATGTCCTTTCCCTGACATTTCCAAGACCGTCGTCCTCTTCTAGCCCCTTCGGCTTCATAAATCTGCCACCGCCAAGAGGCCCTCTCCAACTGCACTGTCTACATGCCCCTCTTGTTCTCCTTATCCTGCTTGTCTTCTCTTCCCCACCTGACGTCAGAAGATCACTTACTGACAATCTCTCGGTAACAGCTACAGGCCTGTGACGGACATGATGGCCTAAGGCTAAATCCCAGCACTCAGGAGCTCGAGGCAGAAGGATCAGGTACTCGAAGTAATTCTCTGCTACACAGTAAGTCTGAAGCCAGCCTATGGTACATGAGACCATCTATAAAAACAAAACAGCTGGGTATGGTGGTAGGTATTTAATCCCAGCACTCAAGAAGGAAAGGCCAGCCTGGTCTGGTCTACACAGAGATCCAATCCAGCCAGGGCTACATGGTAAGACCTTGTCTTTAAAAACAAAACAAAGCTGGGCGGTGGTTGCGCACGCCTTTAGTCCCAGCACTCGGGAGGCAGAGGCAGGCGGATCTCTGTGAGTTCGAGGCCAGCCTGGGCTACAGAGTGAGTTCCAGGGCAGGTTCCAAAGCTAGCTTTCCAGAGAAACCCTGTCTCGAAAAACCAAAAACAAAACAAAACAGCAAAGCTATAAGGCCAGCCCAGTCAGATGCAGTAGTGATACACATCTTTTCTGACAGGGTTTCTCTGTGTAGCCCTGGCTGGCCTCAAACTCAGAAATCCACCTGCTTCTGCCTCTTGAGTGCTGCGATTAAAGGCAGGCACACATCTTAATCCCAGCACTCAAGAGGCCAGCTAGACCCTGTCAAAAAAAAAAAAATCACTGAGGAATGAGCCACCACGAAGTGCTTTAGCAAGGTAACTTCATTAAATCCTTACAACTCCATAAGGCAGCATCATTCACACAGGGACTCCAAGGCTTGGACAATTTAGAGACACCAGCCGTTTTTCTGGCACTCCAGCTCCAGACCCCTTTCCAACACTTCTGAGACTGTGTCTTACTAAGTTGTTCAAGCTACGCCTGAACTATTCTGTGGCCCTGACAGATGTCAAGTTTGGAATCTGCCTGCATGGGCCTCCACAGAAGCTGGACTTCAGTCCTGTGCCCGCACGCCACATTTTCCATTCCTTTTCCAGTATTCATTCCCAAGCGGCAGCATTTCAGCTCCCTTCACACACAGTGGCTGCCCTTCCCAGCCTAGGGAACAGAAGGAACCCTCTGCTTTACTGTGAGTCCTGTTTGCTATGGTGTGAAGCCGTTTAGAGAGGCTGGTGGTGCTGGATCCAGACGGAAATTGAACTGTGGACCTGGCTTGGCCAAACCCTTCTCAGGGTCCTCAGGATACTTGCTCCAGGCTGGGGCACATGTATTTATTTTGTGTATGGTGGGGGGTTGGGGTGGAGACAAGGAGTGGGGAGGGAGGGAGAGAGTGAGGAAGCACATAGGCAAGACGATGACTTTCGAGAGTCAACCCTCTACCACTGAGTCCCAGGAACTGAGTGAGTCTCCTGCCTCTGCCCTCAAATGGCCAGAATTCCTTTTCCTCAATCACTACCCCTGCTGAACTCAGCCCCAGCAAGCTCGTGTGGCACACACGTGGAAGTCAGGGGATGTTCTCCTCCCACGGTGGGACCTGGGAAAGTCAGACTTGGCGGCAAGGATGCTTACCAGCATCCTTTCAGCATCCTTTCAGGTCCTCTCCTGACAGTTTTCCCAGGCGGCCCTAAAAACTAGTTACTCTCCACTAACTTCGGAATACCACTTCCAAAAAGTTACACGCAAAGGGGCCAGTGAAATAATGGTAGAGCTTCCACTTCACAAGCCTTGTGACCCTGACCGTGACTTCAGGAACCCACAGCGGAACGAGAACAGCCTCCCTAGAGTTGTCCTAATCAAATGCGTGCATCCACATTTACAGACACAAAATAAATACAGAAAAAGACGTACTTCTGCTTCCTTTCCATATGTGCGCTAGAATCCAGCCTTTGCAGAAAAGTGAACATTCTACCCCTGGGCCTTTCTTACTCCCCGGCAAGAATTGAATTATGTGGTGGGGGTTTTGTTTAAAAATGTATAACCTTTAAAAAAAATTTTTATTTTATGTGTGGGTATTTTGTCTGCAGAAGCCAGAAGAGGATGTCATGTCCCCTAGAACTAAAGTTACAGACAGTTATGAACCTACCTTGCGTGCTGGGACCCAAACTTGGGTCCTCTAGGAGAGCAGGCAGTGCTCTTAACCACTGAGCCATCTTTCCAGGCCAAGTATGTTTCTTAGTTGCTGAGGTTCAAACCCAGAGCCTTACTCATGCTAGGCAAGACTAACACTAGTTCCAATCCTCAATCCTTTTGGAGTCAGGGTCTTGCTATGTAGCCTAGGCTGGTCTGTAACTCAAGATCCTCCTGCCTTAGTCTCCTGAGGACTGGGATTACAGGCCTGCACCACCGCACCCAGAGAAACTGTCTTTGGTTTCTTTTTCACTTGTTCTGATCATGCAGCCCAAACTGGCTTTGCTGCCACTCTCCCTAAGTCACAGATTTATGGCCTCTGCCATCCAGCCCAGTCCGAGAATTTGCTTAACCAGGATCCCACACTTATGTCCCAACCATTTTTCTTCTTATTTGATCTCAAGCAAGTTATGCCACCCAAATTCCAACTTCTTAATCTGAGAGGCTTGTGAGAATTAAATATATCCAAGACTATAGAATCCTGTATACATCACCCATGTTACATAGCATTCACTACTCATCACTTCAGTTATCGCACTGTAGCCAATCACTAAGACCACCACCCAGAGGCCAGTGGACAGAGAGCGTCTCCATGATAGCAGATTGAGCTGGGCTTGATGGAGAAAAAGATCCCCAAAGGTTTCACAGAAAGAAGGGACCGGTGAGTGAAAACTCTGAAGATTATCAACAATGTGCAGGTTAGAGAGCAGAGGGTGTAAAGGGTGGTTAAGGTGTGTTGGAAACCAAGGACTCGGTATGTACAAAGGCCAAAGTTAATGGGGATGGCTGAGAAAGAAAAATGGATGCTAGAGGTGTTAGGGGTCAGCTCGTGTGAGATCCCCTAGAGTACAGGCTATCCCGAAACTTACCATCCTTCTTGATCTTCTCATTGAGATTGTTGATATAAATAGTGTGGTTGGGACGGGTTTCAGGAACTGCCATGGTGTGAGATGCTCAGGGACAGCTTAAAGGGAGAAAAAGAGACGACTTCAGCCCTATGTTTCCCAAAATTCTTTGTTCCTAAGGGCTGATAAGCTCTGCTCAGGGATCCTTTCAAGAGGAAGTTGGGTAAGATCGGAATTGGGGAAGGATGGCACAGCTTGGCAACAAAGCCGGCGTAGGACTCCGCTTCTCCAGCCCGCGTGCTAAGGGGATCTAGAGGGCAACTACGAATCCCAGAATGCTCTACGAGTCCCGGCAGGCGGAGCGTACCAAGCGGCGATTCCCATTAGTCCACGCGCACGAACGGCGTCCCAGGAGGAAAAAAGAACCCGGATGTCGGCCAGTTTAGAAAGTAGGGACCGATTTGGGACCTCCTAGTCTCTCAGAAAGAGGTCTCTCGAAGTGACGCAGCCGAAGGCCCGACGCCAAGTGCTCCACCCGCCTCCCCAGCGCCAAGGGCCGTCTACACCCGCGGGAATTCACTACCTGAGCCACCGCGCCTGCCAGGCTACTCGGCTCAGACACCCAGCTGCCTCCTCCGCGAGACGCTCACCGCGCGCAAACTCGGTAGGTTGACTCTTTGGAGTAAGTCGCTTCCCCGGCCTCAGCGCCTGCCAATGAAAGGAACACTTGGGTTCCCGCCTTAGTGACAATCCCCGCCCCCCTCCCGGAGTGGACACACCAATCAAAGAAGGCTACGAGCTTTTGGCCAATCAGGACATGCCTAGCGCGCTCGTGCTTTCCAGACTGCAAGTCGGAAGCCACACCTCTTCCCCTTCCGCCCGCGGCCTTTGGTCACGTGGTCGTCAAGGAGCGTTGTACAGGTTGCGGGTTCGATCACGTGGGACGAGAAAGGGCGGGGGAGCCTGACCGGGTCAACGCCGTTTGCTCCCGGCGGGAAGGGTGTAGAAGTTCCTAAGTTCCGTTCCCTAGTCGAGCGGTATGGCGACTTAGGCGACCCTTGATCGCTGGGCTGTTGCAACTCTCATACTTCCCGGCTGATTCCAGGACCCTGCCCACCGCTAGGCTGTTTTCCCTGCCACGTGCCTTTTTTAACCTCTTGACCTCTAGCTCCTAAGGTCACTTATAACGTTTCAAATTCGAGCCAGGGATGTGAGATGAGGCAGGTCACCCCACACCACACCCCAGATCTGAGCCTCCGTATTACAGAAGTGACCAATACTAGCTAGCTCCAAAATTTCCCTCCTAATGTAGCCCCAGCCCCATAGCACAGTCCACCCTTCAGGATCCTTCATCATTTGATTTAACCCAGTTTCTGTTTCCACTGTTTCAACCAGGTTCTCCCAGACCAACTGGTCAGGCACCATATTCTGCAATTCAACTCTAATTTTTACTTTATTTATTGTTTGGTTGGTTGGTTGGTTGGTTGGTTTTTTGAGACAGGGTTTCTCTGTGTAACTTTGGAACCTATCCTGGAACTCACTCTGTAGCCCAGGCTGGCCTCGAACTCACAGAGATCCGCCTGCCTCTGCCTCCCGAGTGCTGGGATTAAAGGTGTACGCCACCACCACCTGGCTTATTTTTTTTAATTTTTTTTTTCCTTTTTTCAGAGCTGAGGACCGAACCCAGGGCCTTACGCTTGCTAGGCAAGCGCTCTACCACTGAGCTAAATCCCTAACCCCTTTTTTTTTTATTTTTAATACAGATTTCTATGTGGAGGCCTGAATACCACATCCAGTTGCTCTAAAAACTTAGATCTCCATCCGTGAGAGATTTGGGAGGATCCTATTATTTGCACATCAGCTCTTCCTGAAGACTCCACATGACTTCTCCATGCTCCTTCTCTCCAAAACCCACAATTCCGCCAATAATCCACGAGCCCCAAGACCCCAACATTCCACCTCCTTTACCCCCAAGTCCCCTGGACTTAGCTTTGCCACCCCTTCCCTGTAGTCTCCAGGCTTCTGTTCCACCCCCACCCCCACTGCCACCTCCGCCCTCTGCTGTGGAGGTTGTTCCCCCTCATGTCTACGGCCTGGAGAAGAGCCGGCTCCTGAAGGAGGCCTTGGAGAAGGCTGGCCCAGTCCCCAAAGGCAGAGAAGATGTGAAGAGGCTCCTGAAGCTGCACAAGGACCGGTAGGCTCTCCAAACCCTCAACTCCACCCCAGGTCTCATCCAGCCACCTGGGTTTGCAAATCACTTCAGCCACCCTGTCTCGGGGGTTCCCATTTCCTTCATCTCACGCAGCCAGGTGCCCTAAGTCCTCTGCCTAGCTCTTCAGTGGTTGGCCTCCAGCAACAGAGAGAACAGCTCCTGCATATTCCTGGTTCTGAGGCAGAGGCCCGATGCTTCTGCCCCTCCAGACAGTGACTCCCAGATTAGCCAAGGTTGTGATAATAGGGCCCAAAGAAAGTGTGTAACTCAGTGGTGGCTTCTGAAAGAGAAGCAGCTACAAATGCTAGTGAGTGAGCAAGTTATGGAGGCCTGTGCCGTGAGAGCAGACAGCATCTATAGTAAAGATATATGTATTGTTTTCAAAGAACTAGCAAAGAGGAGCTGGGAAAGTAGGCAAACAGCAGCCCACACCGAGTGGAGCAGGCTGGATGAAGGAATTTGGACTGTCCTGGGGCCTCTGATAAGCCAGGGAAAGGCTTTGCTCAAAAAAACACTACTGTTAGGACTGGAGGTCATGAATAGAATTCACGGTTTCAGGAAGAAATATGTACCCAGGGACAGAGGCAATCAGGGAAGAGGGTAGAGAAGAGACCACAGGCCCTTGCCCAAACTGATAAACTCCCAGTGCTTGGCATAGGGGCACATGACTGTTATCCCAGAGCTCAGGAAGCTGAGCAGGAGATGAGTTCCAGGTAAGACTGAGCTACATAGCGAGACCTTGTCTGGGAAGGAAGGAAGGGAGGGAGGGAGGGAGGGAGGGAGGGAGGGAGGAAGGAAGGAAGGAAGGAAGGAAGGGTGGGAAGGGAGGAAGGGTGGGAAGGGAGGGAGGGAGGAAGGGTGAGAAGGAAGGAAGGGTGAGAAGGAAGGAAGGGTGGGAAGGGAGGGAGGGAGGAAGGGAGGGAGGGAGGGAGGAAGGGAAATTCTTAAACTCCCCAACCACACTTATAAGGCACACCAAGTGCTGCAGCCACCATTATGTGAATTGAATGCAGACACCTGTCACACCTGTCATACCACATAGGTAGTATATGTCAGATTAAAAGGATTTGTTTACTTTGCTTTACTTTTTTGTTGTTTTTTAGATAAGGTCTCATGTAGCCCAGGCTGACCTTAAACTCTATGTGGCTGAGAACACCTGTTCCTTCTTCCTCCACTTCAGAAGATGACAGGTATATATTACCACCACCAGATATTTGGTGGTGGTGGTTTGAGACAGGGTCTCTGTATGTAGCCCAGGCTAGCCTGGAATTCACTATGCAGACCAGGCTGGCCTGGAACTCACAGAGATCCACCTGTCTTCCCCCTCCAAAGTGCTGTGATTAAAGGTGTGCACTACCATACCGCTCTGTTTTTTTTTTATTTTGACCCAGTGTCACACTCTAGCTCAAGCTGACCGAAAGTCTATATAGCCCAAGCAGTCCTGCCAACGTGAATCATCATGGTTGACTGAGTTTTTTAATATTTGTTGCTCTCAGCAACCTCACCGAACAGGAACTGTTACTTTCCCGTTTTCTGGTTGAAAAAGCCGAGACTCTTAGAGGGCTAGAAAGATGACTCAGTGGTTAAGAGCATTCTCTGCTCTTGCAGAGGACCTCAGTTCCCAGCATCCACATGGTGTGACATAACATAACCCCAGATCTAGAGGATCCAGCACCTCTTCTGGCCTCTGGGTATCCACACAGGTGGCATACACTTACATACACATAAGTCAAAGGAAATCTAAAATGGAAGAAAGCTGAAACTCTTAGGGACAGTCACTTAGCCACAGTTCAAAGAAGGGAGAGGTCTCCATTTGAACTCCAGTGGGGGATTTGGTGCTTCTGCCCTGCTATAGTCAGGATTATCTCAGCTGAGAACCTGGAGCTTTGTGTATTCATCCTGTGTGTGAGCATCCCCATCACCACCCCTGGCTTTGCCCTCCCACTGGCCTTGGAATAGAAAGAGCAAGCATATGACCCTGAGCCTTGAGGGACTGAGATGACTGAAACCATGTGGCTACCTCAGGGCAGGGCTGCTCAGGCCTGCTCAGATTCATCAATGCAGTGGTTTCTTGGGCCTTAAGCATATTGTCACCTGGTTTTGCTCAAGGCTGAATTAAATCTATGTAATTGTGTCTATATAGGTATGCTACAGTGTTTGTGTAGGTGAGGTCTGAAAACACCTTGCATGAGTCAGTTCTCTGCTTCCCACAAGTGGCTCCTGGGACTCCAACTCAGGTCGTCAGGCTTAGCAGAAGGCACCTTTATGCACTGAGCCACCCCACCAGCCCTGGTGGGGAGAGTAATCAGGCACTGCTCAGGGTAGCCCGCCTCTAATCCCAGCACTGGGGAACTAAAGCAGGGAAGTCGCCATTGGCTGGAGGCTAGCCTAGGCTTCATTTGGAGATAATGTCTACAAAAAGAGGAAAAAAAAAAAAAAACAGCATTTGGGTATAAAACATACCACCTTCTAGAAATTTCCTCAGGTAAATCTTTATGACTCCTGGTTGCACAGGTTCTGCATTTGCTCTTTGTCTTTCAAGCCCTCTGAGAAGCAGCAAGAAACAGGCAAAAGGATAATTCCCACCTCCACCCTCAGATGAGAAAGCTGAGGCTTTGGGTCACTGCCTCAGCAGGGGAGTGGACCTGGGACCTTAGGACGGCTCAGTCTCCAGGGAGTGAGTTCAGAGCTGTTCCCTTGTGACTTATCATTGTTCTGCTTCAGGTTTCGAAGTGACTTGCAATGGATCCTTTTTTGTGCTGATCTACCATCCCTCATCCAAGAAGGCCCTCAGTAAGTGCCCATTGCCCTGATGCGAGAGGGCCTGCCAGTTTTCTACGGCCAAGCTGGCACTGTGGGACAAGCACCTCCCCCCCAGGCATCCTGGGAGGAAAGAGAAAGCAGGGCATTTTCCACATCATGATCTGTGTGTGTGTGTGAGAGAGAGAGAGACAGACAGAAGGACCATTCAAGTGAGTAAGTGAATGAACCCCAGTGAGTACACAGATGAGATGGTCCATCTCCTCTCCACTTTGGCACCTGTTCCCAGGAAGCCCAAGTTTGTCCCCACCTTCCAGCCTGTTCTCTCCACTTGGCATGGGAGGGGAGGCAAGTCCTCTAGACCGCACACCTCCCCTCCTCTGAAGTCTGGGGAGTTCATTAGAGACATGGCATGTGCTGCAGAGTGGGCTGTCTCTCCCAGGTGTGGACTGGTGGCCTTGTGGATGGCAGGCACGCTTCTGTCAACTCCTGACAGCGTCTCTCTGCAAAGACTGGTGCAGGTAGCCATGGAGAGAGGCTACACGGTGCAGGGAGAGATGTTCTCTGGTGAGTTGCCTGGGAAATACCTCAAGCCCTAAGTTCCACTGGCTCCTCTCTAGGCCAGCTGAGGCACTGAAGGTGCATGAGGGGGGTCTCATTCCCTCCTGGCCTGCCTCCTTACAATAGAAGACCAAAGTTGTTACCAGGAGAAGACAAACCATTATTATGGCAAAGTGATTAAACAACTGATCCTTTGTGCCTCACTTGTAGTACTGGGAATTGAACACAGGGCTCTAAGGCAAGTGCTCTACCACTGAGCCACACCCCCAGCCCCTCACTGGGGGATTCTAGGCAGGGGCTCTACCACTGAGCCACACTCCCAGCCCCTCACTGGGGGATTCTAGGCAGGGACTCTACCACTGAGCCACACCCCTAGCTCCTTACTTGGGGATTCTAGGCAGGTGCTCTACCACTGAGCTCTAATTCCAGCCACTTTTTTTCCTTTTGAGACATGGGCTCACTAAATTGCTCAGCGTGGTCTTGAACTCACTGGGTAGCCCAGGCAGGTTTTGAACATCTGATCCTCCTAATTCAACCTCTGGAATAGCTGGGATTACAGTTCTATGCCATCAGGCCCAGCTTGTGCCTCATTTTCTGAACTTACACAAATAAGCCATTTTGAAATGTTCTCATTCATATATTTATTCATTTAATCCATACTTTCTCCCTCTCCCCCTCTCTCCCTCTTTCTCCTCCTCTCTTCCTCTCTGTCCTTCCCTCCCTCCCTCCCTCCCTCCCTCCCTCCCTCCCTCCCTCCCTCCCTCTCTCCCCCTCTCTCCCTTCTCCAGTGGCTGACATGGCCAAACTGGCCCAGGAGACCTTGGACTGTGAGGCTGAGCTCCTCTGTGGTGGCCTGGGTGGTCCCAACAGAGATCAGGTCCTGCAGCACCTCATCACTGGACATCCCTTGCTCATCCCGCATCCCAGGGCCAGGGAAGGGAGCAGGGTAGAAATGGTGAAGGGTGGGACCCAGGGCCACACCACAGTTTGGACCTTAATACCAGCTCCAGCTATGATGAGGATTTCAACCATGAACCGTGTCAAAAGAAAGGCCATAAGGCCCACTGGGCAGTGAGTGCAGGTGCGTCCACCCCACCTTTACCCCCATATGCTGCTTCTAGAGCTCCCACCCACTATTAACCCTGTTCACATTGTATCACCACTGAAGGTGCTGGCCGTGCATTAAGGGTACGAACAAGAGCTTGGCCTCCCTCTTTCCGATGTGGTATTTAGCAAAAAGCTCAGCAGGCATCAGGTCCCTCAAGTATCTGCCAATTAGAGTTCCCACAAACAGGCTCAGAGCACAGACTAGGGGGCAAGGGGATCCAGGCGCAGCCCAGCCTCTTTAGACTCCATAGTTCTGCCTAAGTTTCTTCACCGCTCTGGGCCTGTTGTCCATCTGGAAATTGAGGGGGTGTCAGAGGGGCATTAGCTTTTCTTTTTTTTTTTTTTTTTTTTTTTTTTTTTTAAAGATTTATTTATTTATTATGTATACAGAAGAAGGTACCAGCTCTCATTACAGATGGTTGTGAGCCACCATGTGGTTGCTGGGAATTGAACTCAGGACCTCTGGAAGAGCAGTCAGTGCTCTTAACCTCTGAGCCATCTCTCCAGCCTGGCATTAGCTTTTCTTACGGAAGAATTGGAGAGGTTTCTGTGGCTCACGGTCGGGGATAGTTCATGGAAGGGAGGCATGGCGGCTGATGGCTCTACCAGTGATGCAGGAGCTGGAGGTCCAGCTTGTTCTTGGTTGACCAGGAAGCAGAGCGCTCCACCCAGAACCAGAGACTGGACTATAACCCTGCACTTGCACTTCAGCCCCACCCCAGTGATCCACTTCCTCCAGCAAGGTCCCTCCACCTCCTAAACGTGGGAGCAGCTCCCAACATAGCACCACCCACTGGAGGCCACAAGTCCCAACACTTAACCCCGAGGGGGATAGTGCACATACAGACAGTAACAGAGGCAGCCCTGCCTCTTCAGGCTGCCTGGTGGGCATGTGACTCCTATGGAACACGGTGACACACTGCATGTGTCTGTCGCCAGCACTGTGGCCTCCACGTGTATCTGGCCCTGTGTGGGGGTCTTTCTGGGGCAACTGGAGATGTTGGGGTTCTTCTTTTCAGTGCTGCCCCCACTTTCAATGTGCTTCAGATACCTGAGACTTTGAAGCCAGAGGCCCAGCTTGTACCCACAGAGTCCTAACTTTGTGGCTGCAAGGCAACACCTGGCCTGGAGGGTCACAGAGGATTCAGGAGCCTTGGCACCTAGCTGTAACCCAGGCGACTCACATCCTCTTCCTGTCCCCCAGGGGTCCTGATAGGTGTGCAGAGTGTGCCAATCCCTGGCTACATGGAAGACTCCGAGTTGCCAGGCCTCTTCCACCCAGTGCCTGGGGTACCCAACCAACCACCATCCTTCCCAGAGGAAAGCTCCCCAGGTGCCATCTTCCTTCTCTCCAAGCAGGGCAAGAGTTGGCATTACCAGCTGTGGGACTACAACCAAGTCCGGGATAGTAACCTGCAGCTGACAGACTTCTCTCCTGCAAGGGCCACCGATGGGCGGGTGTACGTGGTACCTGCTGGTGGGGTACAGGCTGGCCTCTGTGGCCAGGTCCTGCTGCTTAGACCACGAGAGTGGAGCCATTAGCTGGGGCTGGGGCACCTGCCTTGAACTTACCTCCATCCCCGTTGGAGTGTCTCAGCTTCATCCCTTGTGTGGTGTCTACAGTCCAACCTGTATCTTGAGGACCTCCTGCTAGGAATCTTTCACAGAATCACCCCAGCTATGTAGTCACAAGCTTAACCATTGTCCAGAGTCTAAATTTATTACTTGCAGGATTAAGCACTCCTTTGGTTAAGGGAAACTTGGTTTTGTGGAGTTTTTGTTTGTTTGTTTGTTTGTTTGTTTGCTTGCATGTTTTTTAGAGCATGATCTCTGCCTGGAGGTGATGGCACATACTTCAAAACCCAGCACTCAGAAGGGAGAGGACTGGTTCTCAATCTGTGGATCATGACCCCTTTGGGGGGGTCAAATGACCCTTTCACAGGGGTTCCCTAAGACCATTGAAAACACATATTTACATTATGATTCATAACAGCAAAATTACAGTTATGAAGTAACAAAAAATAATTTTATCATTAGTGGTCAGCACACCATGAGGAACTGTATTAAAGGGTCACAACATTAGGAATATTGAGAACCACTGAGGTAGGGGCAGAGGGAATCTCTCTGAGTTCAGGATCATCCTGGTTTACATAGCAGACTCCATGCCAGCCAGGGCTACATAGTGAGACCCTTTCTCAAAAAGAAAAACAAAACAAAACCAGGGGTCTTATTTGTAGCCCTAGATGACCTAGAATGACCTATGTAGTAGACCACGCTGGCCCTAACCTCACAGAGATCTGCCTGGCTTTGCTTCCTACATGCTGGGATTAAACGTGTGTTCCCCGACGCTCAGCCTAGAGAAAGACTCTTGATAGTAACTGAGACCCTAGCTATGGTCTTCCCACCCGAATGTGACACCCATTGATCTCTCTTTGGGGGCATCTTTTTAAGACATCTACAACAGCCTGTACCCCCTGCTACCCCCAGCATCTCCAAGTTTGCTCACAGGACAGAAATTAACCCAACTCCCCTCTCCTTGGCCTACTCAGACTGTTGCTCACCCGTCTGACAGCCGTGATGGACTTTCAGATACTAAGACTGCAGGTGCCAACACCAGCCCTGGGCTGAATGTGATGATCACTCTCCTTGAGCTGGCAAGATGGCTAATGGGTAAAGGTGCTTGCCAGCCTGGTGACCCAGGGACCCATGTAACAGAACTGGTTCCCACAAGTTGTCCCCTCACCTCCACTTGTTTGCTGTGGTACTTGTGCATTCAACACAAATTCAACTATAAATAAAACATTTTAAAAGCCTACTTCCCCTAACTTCTGCATCCTGGCTCCAATATCATTTCTTCTTGAGAGTCCCCAGGACCCCTCTTCTTCCACATGAGGGGAAGAGAGGAATATGATGTGGGGTTTTTTGCTTGTTTTTTTCAAGATTATTATGTATACAGTGTCTGCCTGCATGTATGCCTGTACACCAGAAGAGGGCACCAGATCTCATAGATGATTGTGATCTACCATGTGGTTGCTGGGAATAGAACTCACGACCGCTGGAAGAGCAGCCTCTTAACCTCTGAGCCATCTCTCCAGCCCGTTTGCTTTTCCAGACCTTGTTATGTTATGCAGTCCAGGTTAGCCTTGCATATGCCACATCCTGCCCAAGGCTGGGATAGTGGTGCAGACCTATAATCCCAGCATTTGGAAGGCAGAGGCCAGAGGATCAGTTCAAGTTCATCATTGCTACCTGACAAGTTCAGGGCTAGCTTCAGCTATATAAGACTCTTAAACCACATAGGAACCAGTTGTGCGTGACTCCTGCTTTATCCATCCTAATGAATCAACTATAAGGAAAGTAATAGGCACCTGGCACACCCACTCGGAAGGGGAGGAACAAGTCTTGGTTGCCACTGTACTCCCATTACCCAGCAAAAGATCACATATTCAGGGAGATGTATCGTACAGTGTGTAGTAACCAGTGAGTGGGGTAGGTAGCAGTCTGTCTGAATCCTGACCCTGATATTTGATTGGCACTGTCCTGGTTCATTGTATTAGAGCTCAAAGGACTAGCCTAGGAGCCCTGTGTCTTTGCATGGTCTAGCATAGAGCCAGGCCCAGGAGATCAGCAATTCAGGCTAGGCATGATGGTACATACCATCTCAGTACTCAAGAGGCTGAGTCAGGTGGGTCACGGTGAGTTTGAAGCCAGCCTGGGCTACATTGTGAGTATCAAGCAGGTTTGGGCTACAGAGCAAGACCTGTAATCCCAGCACTATGGAAGCCAAAGAAGAGGACCTCAAGTTCCAGACCAACCTGAGCTACAGTGAGAAAGAACCTGTCTCAAAATTAAAAGAAAGGGGCTGGAAAGATGGCTCAGCAATTAAGACCACTCACTGCTCTTGCTGAGTTTGGATCCCAGAACTGACATCAGACAGCTCAAAACCATTCCAGCTCCAGAGGCTATGGGGTCTCATGCCCTCTTCTGGCCTCCTTGGGCACCTGAACACGTGTAACTAACACACACATACAAAAATACAAATCTTTTCTTTTTTTGCATGTGTGTGTTTTCAAGACGGATTCTTTGTGTAGCCCTGGCTGTCCTGGAACTCTCTATGTAGACCAGGCTGGCCTTGAACTCAGAGATCCACCTCCCTCTGCCTCCTGAATGCTGGGATTGAAGTTGTGCACAACCACTGCCTGGTGGTGATAAATTGTTTTTAAATCTAAACAAAGCCAGGTGGCGGTGGCACACATTTAATCCCAGCAGATGGATCTCTGTGAGTTCAAGGCCAGCCTGGTCTACAGAGCAAGTTCCAGGATAGGCTCCAAAGCTACACAGAGAAACCCTGTCTTGGGAGAAGAAAAAAAAAAAAAATGGCATTTCTGGATCTTGAATGAGTGGTGAAGCTCCTCAGCCTGCCTCAGTCTCCTAAGGTGATCACTACCCCATTATCCTACCCCAGCATGAAGGCCCAGAGTATGAGTCTCAGCTCACATACACAAATGCCAAGAAAATATCCACAGCATTGACTTTATCCTGTTTATTGGGGTGCCACCATGGGCAGGAGGCACAATAAAGCCATTTCGCCTCGATTCCCTGACACCACCCCAGCTAACTACCTCATATATAAATACATATAAAGTCAGTCAGTAGAAAAGGAAGACGTGTCAGCCCTGGAAGACATTAGGGCTTAGGGAAGAGGTAGGTTCCTGTCCTCACCAAGCCCATCTGTGTGGGCCAGGAAGCCAAGGTTCTGGAGCGGTGCTAGAGCGGTGCTAGACAGTGGTTTCTGCCCCATTCCAGAGTTCTAGAGTCTTTGGTTAGAACCAGGTTAGTCCTTGGTTCGGGTCAGAAGTCCCACCCACTTGTGCTTCTGGGCAACCTGGCAGTTCATTCAGTGTGCGGGTAGGGGCACTTATACAGTGAAGCAAGGCAGCTCTAGTTCCCAAGGAGAAACCTGCTCCCCTGCTTCGGAAACGCCTTCCTGTCACTGGACTAAGACAGGAGAGCCCGGGGTCAAGGGCAGGAGGAAGTCCTGAGGCTGGTGCTGGTGCACCAAGGAAGGAAGATGGTCACAGTGCTGGCACAGGTGGATGTGGCTGTGGTCTGGCTCTGCAGCAGCTTCAAGAGTCCACAAAGGAACAAAGAGGTTCCTTCCAGGCCTTGGCAGGGAGGAGGGTAAGCTGTGCGCCCTCACAGTAGCATCAGAAGGTGTCCCATGTCATCACACCCTCCTCTCAGCAGTTGGATGGCCTCCAGAAAGGGCTGTCACTGCCCCAGGAGGACAAGAAGCTCCAGCAGGTCTTCACAAATGATGCCCGATCCTCTGGGGAACAGAAGTCAACCTGCTGAAGCTCTGGGCTCAGAAAGCCAGCTTAAGGAGGGGTTCTTGACTCTTCCAGCTGTGGCTCCGGTACTCCCTTAGCTTTCCCAGCTGATCAGGATGCCCTATTCATGTTCTGCTAACTATAACTCCATCTATCCTGTTCCCCACATCAAAGGGAGCCCAATGCTGCCAGGTCCCCCAAAGCTCCTCAGACCACACTGGTCTGGTGATACCTTGAAGTACCTCATCTTCCATCAGCAGCCTCAGGCCCGACGACATCTTAGGGCTCCTCCAGCCAGACACATGCTATATCTTGCAAGTGAGTCTAGCAGCAGCAGATGAGATCAGCTCTGGGCCAGCCCCTGAAGGAGGCAGATCAAATTGTCCAGACCCCAGAGGTAGCCATCCTCACGGTTGCCCTCGGCCCAAGGCAGCCTGTGACTGAGCGTTTGGTGGTCAGGCAGGGCCACTGTCTTGCCGAAGTCAATCATCCAGACCTTGGCCAGGCCGGTGTGGTCATGCACAAAGAGAAGAGAACTGCCCACTACCTGCAGCAGTTAGTGAGAGAGATGCAGTTAGAGAGAGGAGCAGGCACTAGCCAATCAATTCCCCAATGAGCAGTAAAGCAGAGTGGTAGACGACAGAAACTCTGGAACAAGGCTGCCCATGTTCAAATCCTGACTCTGCTACTTCTGGGCTGTGCAGCCTTGGGCAAGCATCTTACCCTCTCTGTGGCTCTGCTTCCACATATACAAACTGAGAATAATGGTATAATTTACACACATAACGCATTTCAAATCGTTTCTAGAACACAACAAATACACAATATATGTTACCAAAGTGTGTGTGTGTTTATTATGAGGATGGCCTAGAGCCTCCAACAAGCTAAGCAGGAGTTCACAGGCTGAGCTACAGCCCTAGCCCATTATCTTCATTTTCTATCTCTCATTTCTTGTTTGTCTGACAGGGTCTTACATAGTCCCAGATGGCCTTGAATTATCTATACAGTCAAGGATACCCTTCAACTCCAGATCCTCCTGCCTCCACCTCCCGTGTGCTGGCCTGAACTCCCAGCCCGACTGCTTCCTCCTCCCAGGTGCTAGAACAGTGTGAGCCAGCACACTGGGCTATTTGCTGTCATCATTTTTACACCACAGCACAAACTCAAATGGCGTCCAGGTTGTGACTGGGTCAGAGGGCTCGGACCGGACAGAAGAACTGGAAAACTCCAGAATAGGGCAGTAGCTTCTTAGGCCTAGGGGACTGTGGCTGATGATGTTAGGCAAGTGGTTTCCTTCCTTTGGCCTTGGTGTCCTGTCTGTAGAATGGGGAAGTTGGTAACACTCTACCTCCTGAGGTCACAGTAGCAACCTACAAGCCACAGGCTCATAAAGTGCCTCCCACCGTCTGCCTTGAAGCATACCTTGGTGGGTGTTGTTAGTGGCACTTTAATTCACTTGTGTGGGATTATGGATTAGACAGTCATTGCTGAACAGGTGTGCTAACACACATCCACAATCCAAGCATTTGGGAGGCAGATGCAGAAAAACAGTCACAAATCTGAGATCAACCTAGGCTATGGGCTATGTAGTGAACTCCAGGCCTGCCAAAGCTACAGAGTAAACTTGTCTAAAAAAAAAAAAGGGAGTAAGCCAGTCATGGTGATGCACACCTTTAAATACAACACTCAGAAGGCAGAGGCAGGAGGCAGGTGGATGACTATGAGCTAAGGGCAAGCCTAGGCTACAAAGTGAAACTCTATCTCAAAACCAAATGGCCTGGTGAGATGGCTCAAAACATAAAGGCACATGCCACCAAACCTGATGACCTGAGTTCAACTCCTGGGACCCGCACGGCAGGAGAGAAATGACCCCCCAGGCTGTCCTCTGACCTCCACAAGAGTACCATGGCACATACACACCCTCATCCCACATTCACATCCTCTAAATACAATTTTGAAAATTATACAACAGGGAGTTACTCTTTCCTACGAACAAACAAAAGAAGTAGCTGCTGCCTTCCCATCTTCTAACTCCAGTCTTACAAGCCCCCTCCATGTCTTAAACCAGGTTTCAATACCACCCTGCTCCCAGACCCCAATTCCTGGACATGTAAGCAGGAGCCTGTCTGGAGCGAGATCCAGGACAGGCACCAAAACTACACAGAGAAACCCTGTCTCCCAAAACCCAAAACCAAAAAAACAAAACAAACAAACAAACAAAAACCAAGAGCCTGCCTGGAGAACCAGATGCTGTCAGGTCTCATGACTATAAGCCATAGTCTTAGCTACTTGGGAAGCTGAGGCAGGAGGATTGAAAGTACAAGGCCTGTAGCCTTTACTACAGAGTGAGCTCAAGGGTAGCTTGGGCAACTTAAATTCTATCTCAAAATAAAAACCTAAAGAGGTTAACCTAGTCTACACAGTGAGTCCCAGACTAGCCAAAGATACATAGTGAGACCCTCTCAAAAAAAAAAGAATGAAAAGTTGGGGATATATCTCAGTTGGCAGAGTGTCTGCCCCCAAGCAAGTTGACACACACCCATAATCCCACACTTAGGAGGTGGAGGCAGGAGGATCAAAAGTCCAGGTCATCCTCAGCTACAGAGCAAACTCAATGCCTGCCTGGGCTACATGAGACCCTGTCTCAAATAAAACAGTGGAGGGTGTGAAGCCGGAATGTAGCTCAGTGGTAGAGCACTTGCCTGGCAGACATGAGATCCTGGGTTCAAATCCCCAGTACCAAACAGAAGAGAGAGGCAGGCAGACACCAGTCAGGCCTGGATGCATGCTGCCGTATGGTAAGCGTCCAGGACTGCTGTCTCTCCAATTGTCAGGGAAACTGGAAATGCCGATTTCTATGTGAAATTTCACATTTCAAATGGAGGCAAGACACTAGGCCAGCAAAACCAAACACAAGGAGAGGAGAGGCCTCTACTCCCACATAAAGCCTCAAGACAGTAATGGGGACAACGGTGACATTTGACCAAAACAAACACGACAATGATGACAGCTGGCACTCCCTGACGGTTCACCATGGGCTGGGCTCAATACATCAGCCTACTGCACCGGCATCCGTGCCACGAGGCTGCTGCTGTCACCCACACACAGGGGCCAGAGACACCGAGGCCCCCCGGGGTGGCTGCCTGGGCTTAGGAGGCTGAGGAGAAGCAGAGCTGGGATTGAGACTTGTACAGGCAAGACTTCCAGCTCAGGGCTTTCTAGAAAAGTCAGAAACACCACTGAGAAGAGGGAAAGGCTGAGAGGCCGAGGGAAGGGCTTGGAGAAGAGAAGAAGCCATCACTCACTTCTCTGCCAAGCAGACAGCCTCAGAGACACAGGGTGTCAGCAAGCACAGTGGCATACAACTATAATCCTAGCGCTGGTGAAGGCTGAGGCAAGAGAGTCAGGAATTCTAGGCCAGTCTAGGTCAACCTGGGCTACGTGAAACCCGCAAAACAGAACAACCCCCGTGATCTGGCAAGATGGCGCAGTCGGTAGGGCACTTGCTGAGTTTGATCTCCAGGACCCACAAGGAGAAAACGGACTCTGTCAGGGTGTCCTCTGTCCTCCAAGTGTGCACTAGCCCCTCCACACACACACACACACACACACACACACACACACAAATAAATAAAAACATAAACACCTGAACGAAAAAGTCAACCCTAAGAGAGACTGGCTAGGAGAGGAAAGAAAAGGCAAGAACCACCCACTTAGAGACACACCATTACAGTTACAAACTGATGCTAAGAACCCGGAGTAACGACCGTGATGCCTCTGTATGCCCCAAGGGTCGCTTTCCAGTGACTCACCATCCTCAGCAGTCCCCTGCCTTGTCGGAGCAAATGATACTGTCTGGGTGGGGCAGGCTGGGTGTGGTGATGTCCCTGTGATCCCTGCATGTGGGGGGCTGAGGTAGGAGAACTGTGGGTGTGAGGCCACCCTGGGCTACATGAGACTGTGTCTCAAAAAACCACGCCTCTTCCAAAGGAAAAAAAGCTACGATTGGGGGTGTGTTGAGCACAGTGACTGAGAATCCCTGGTTTTGACTCCCAAGCCCTGGAGGAAGTCAAAAAGGAGGAAACTGAGGAGAGTCCAAAGTCATACAGCAGAGTCAGCCTTATCCCCAGACCGCCTGACTTGAGTCCATGTCCCACTCCCTCCCTTCGGAATCCCCGAAACTGGAGCCCACATACACCTATGGCACCCAGGGCTCGCACCTCATGGGTCTTGAAGAAGGGAGAGTTTTCCAGAGCCTCGCGGAGGTCCTCCAGTCGCGCCACGTACTTTCTCTGAGTGTGAGAGGAGGGTAGCTCATTAGTACAGAGATGCAGCAAGCTCTTGGTGAGGCCCTTGAGATGAGAGCTCACCCTGTCATCCTGGACAGTCAGTCAAGATGGGACAAAGGGACCCAGGAAATGACGGGAAGAGGGAGTACTGGCATGAAGCCAATAAGATGGTGCACACAGGAGTGAGATGGATGAAATGAATCCCCACCAATCCCCACAGCTCCCCCATGAGAGGTGGAATCAGTTTCCCCTTCCCCTGAGCCGGGCTTGGTCTCATGGTAGGACCTGTTCTGCCCAACAGAATGTGGCCATGCTGTGCCTAGACACCAAGGGGCCTCATACATAACACCTGCTATCTCGGCTTCCTGTTCCCATGGTGAGAAGAGCGCAGGCTAGCCTGCTAGATTGAACAGACAGACAGACACCCAAGTCCCAAACAAGGCTGTGAACCAAGGTAGACATAAAAGCCGTGCTAGCCGGGATCAGCCAGGACCAGCCAGTCTCAGCCAAGCCACCAGCTGCTGGCAGACTGTGAGCAAGGCTGGCCAGGATCAGCTCAGCCCAACCTAGCCCAGCCCAAAGCAAAGGAGCATGACTCAGAAGCAGCAATAAACGGTGGCTATCTTCAGTGGCCATATGTTAGGATATGAGCGTCCCACTCACCACGATTCCAAGGTCCCCATCTACAAAGTCTTCCAACACCTTTGTCACCTGCTCCAGGGCTTGTGTCTTCTTGAAGTTGGTATTGCAGGTCCCATCGGCCTTCTGCAAGCAAGATGTGAAGTGTCGTCACGTGTGCAGCCTCACCCCAACCCTGACCCCTACTCGGGGGAGACAGTCTACCTGTCACACTGTTACACAACCTGTCCCCCCACAGCTGACAAGGCTGAGTCCATCTTGCGCAACAGGCTGTGGACCAGGATGTGGCTTTAGTAATGATTCTGCCACTGTCTATCGGAGCGGGCTTAAACGAGCCCATCTCTCTTTGAGACAGAGTCATGTGTATCTGAGGCTAACCGAAAAACTCACTACATAGCTAAGGCTGGCCTTGAACCCCTGATCCTCCCACTTCCTTTTCCCAAGTGCACTACCTCACTCAGCTTAAACAAGTCCTGTCACGTGCCTCAGCCTCAGACGCCTCCTCTGCGGGTATCTGCTTCCTAGAGCCGCTGGTGAGACAGTTACCTGAGACTGGGCATGTAGGACGCGGGGCCCACAAAATAAATGACCAAAAATTCTCTGTGCTGACTCCAAACTCCCGACCCCCTGCTTCCCAAGCGCTAGGATCACCGGCAGGAGCCACCACACCTGGCTGTTTTGACTTATTAACTATGTGATTAATTATTCAAACAAAGGTGGGTGGGGCTCCTGAACAAGAGTCTCCGTCATATATGCTGGTAAGTGCTCTGTTACTATGCTACAGCTCCAGTCTCTACTTAGTTGCTATCGTTTGTGTAGTACTACTCCAAATTGAACCTAGGGCCTCACACATGCTCACAAGCCGCCTAACATGGAACTACAACACCCAGGCCTCTTTTTCCTTTTTTTTTCCCCTTTTAACTTTTTATTTTTGACACAAGGTATCTCTGAGTTGCCCAGGCTGGTCCTAAACGTACTCTGTAACTCGGATTGAAGCTGCAATCCTCTGCCTTAACCTCTTCATGGGGATGAAAGGTGTAGCTACAATATCCAGTTTTCCAAGTATATTTAATTTATGAAATAAAAACTTAAAAGATCCTTCCAGCCACTGCATTCCACAATGGAGGGAAGAGGATCAGGTTTGGGAGGCCAGAGAGGCTGGGACAGAGAAAAGGCTGGACTTGGGGAAAGAGAAGCTGGTACATGAAGATGCTCCAGGAGACAGATAAAGAAACCCCGCCTCTGCTAGAGGCAGGGACAAGAAGCGAGGCCTTTCTCAGACCAGGCTGTCTGGACTCTGCAGACGTGGGTCTGCTTCCTTCTAGCATCGCCGGCCTCCCATGGTCCACAAAAATCCAGTCCACTGTTCCAGTCCCAGAACTCTTGAGTGTCAAACAAACCGGCTTGCTCCTGGCCCTCACCTTGATGCCTTCTATCCGGAAGCCTAGGGTGGAAGTTGAGCTCAGGGTCTCCCTCCATTGCATATATCGGGGCTTGGTGACCGCGCCCTGAGCACGCTCCTCAGGAGTGGGGGCCCCAGGGTCCACTGCCACCATCTTCTCATACATATCTTTCCGGGGCCTGGGCCGTTCTCGGGCCTTCACCAGCTCCTCTTCCAGGTAGGTCCTGAGCACACGAGATGTGACAAAGGAAACCATTAAGCACAAAGCTGGAAGGCTCACACTTCTGGTGTGGGTGGAGGTGCAGGTCTTTGAGCCCAGCACTTGGAGGCAGAGGCTGGTGGATCTCCGTGAGTTTGAGGCCAGCCTGGGCTACAGAGTGAGACTCTGTGTCAAAACAACAGAACAAACAAAATCCCAGTCAACGACAGAAGTTCACACAACAAAGCTTTCGGAAGAAAACAAGAGAGCAGTTTCGTGCTGTTATAGTAGGCCATTAACAACAACAATACCAAAAACAATGTCTGACAAAATAGAAGTACTTCTGCTTACTGGTGCTTGGCTATCACTGATCTAGAACACTTGGGACCAGCAGCTGGAGAGATGGCTTCAGTGGTTAAGAGCACTGTGCTCTTTCAGAGGACCTGGGTTCCAGTCCCAGCACCACACGGTGGCTCACACGTGTCTGCAGCTCCAGTCCTAAGGGATCTAACACCCTCTCCTGGCCTCTTGGGGCATAAGGCACACAAATACATGTGCAGGCACAACATCTGCCCACAAAATTAAGAAAAAACCTCCCAGCACCCACATGGCAGTTTACAAGTGTCTGTAACTCCAGTTACAGAGGAGCTGATGCCCTCTTCCGGGCTCCTTGGGCTCTAGGTACACACATGGTGCAGACATGCATCACGCAAAACACCCCTACACATAAAATGTTTTTAAAAAAAGGAAAATTTAAATAAATAAATACCTGGAACCAAAAGTACTTCTGATTTTGAAGGTTTCAGATTTTAGAATTATTGCATGAAGCTTCCAATTTCACCGGAAGTTTGGAATTTCAGATTTTTAAAAACATGTATTTCTTTATTGGCAGAGGGAACATGCTTGTTTGGAGGTAAGGGGACAGTTTTCAGGAGCTGGTGGTTGGCCACCATATGGGCCATGGGGGCGGGACTCAAGTTGTCAGGTTGGGCAGCATGAGCTCTCACCCAATGAGCTGTCTCACCAGCCCCAGGTTTCCTTATTCTATTTAACTTTGAGACCCTCCTGGTCTGGAAATACTGTATAGACCAGGCTAGCCTCAACTTCATAGAAATCCAACTACCTCTGCCTTCTGAGAGCTAGAATTAAAGGCAAGGCCATTTATTTTTATTTATTTTACTTTGTAATTTATGTGTGAGTCTGTGTAGATATATAGACAATATGTGCATAAAGGAGCCCTTGAAGCCAGCAGCAGGCATTAGATTCCCCTGGGGCTGGGGTTGCAAGTTGTTGTGAGCCACAGGTGCTAGGCACCCAACACAGGTCCTCTGCAAGAGCAGCCAGTGCCTGTAACCAGTGAGTCATCTCTTCAGCCCCAGTATTATTTTCAAAGAAGAAACAATGCTGATTTATCAAGAGAAAGTGAGGAAACCCCCAGACTGGGAGAGGGTCCAAGGAAAGAGTAACAGAATTGCAGATTTTTTTGTTATTAGAGTTGTTTGAACCTTTTTTTTTTTTTCAAAGATTTATTTTATGTATATGAGTGCTCTGTTGACTTAATGCCAGAAGAGGGCATCAGATCCCACTATAGAAGTTGTGAGCCACCATGTGGGTGCTGGGAATTGAACTCAGGACCTCTGGAAAGAGCAGCCAGTGCTCTGAACCTCTGAGCCAACTCTCAGCCCCTAGAGCCGTTTAATGGTATTAATAGAGTAAAATGGCAAATGCAAGGCCATAGGTTTGGTCCTCAGTTCCAGGGAAAAAAGAGAGACAGAGTGAAATTTGAAAGTTAGAAAATATACACATTATCAGTGTGTGTGTGTGTGTGTGTGTGTGTGTGTGTGTGTGTGTGTGTGTGTGTGCGCGCGCGCAAAACAAAGGATTTATATCCAGAATATGTAAATAACTAATAAAAGGAGAGAGAGAGAATATCAGGCATGATGGTTGTGGTGGTTTGAAAGAAAATGGCCCCCAAAGGGAGTGGCACTACTAGAAGGTGTGGCTTTGTTGGAGTAGCTGTGGCCTTGTTGAAAGAAGTGTGTCACTGTAGGGTAGGCTTTGAGTTCTTCTATGCTCAAGTTACTCCCAGAGTCACAGCTGACTTTCCGATCAAGATGCAGCCAGCACCATGTCTGCCAGCACGCCACCATGCTCTCTGTCATGATGATGACGGACTGAACCTCTGAAACTGTAAGTGAACCGCTACAATTAAATGTTTTCCTTGATAAGAGTTGCCGGAGTCATGGTGTCTCTTCACAGCAATAGAAACCCTAACTAGGACAGTGGTGTATATTTACAATGCTAACACTTAGGAGGCAGAGGCAGGAGGATTGCCATGGCTGAGACTGCTGGGTCTACATACTGAGTTCCACACCAGCCATGGCTATACAACAGATCCTGTCTCAAACACAAAATTAAAACAAAACAAAACAAAACTAACCAACCAACCAAACCAACAACATCTAGGGCTGCGGATGTAGCTCAGTGATGTAGGCAACAGGGCTTGCCCGACATGCAAAGCCCTACATTCAACTCCCGGCACCCACATAAAATAAAAGACAGTACTGACTGAGCAACCACTACAACCAAAGTGAGTCCTTAATTCTAGAACTGGCCGGGCGCTGGTGGCGCACGCCTCTGATCCCAGCACTCGGGAGGCAGAGGCAGGTGGATCTCTGTGAGTTCGAGGCCAGCCTGGTCTACAGAGTGAGTTCAGGACAGCCAGGACTGTTATACAGTGACACCTTGTCTTGAAAAACCAAACCAAACCAAACAAAAAACTCTAGGAATTAAAAATCAAATAAATAACAGTCTGGCTTGGGGCTAGGAATGTGGCTCAGTTGGCAGACTACCTGCCTAGCACGCATGAAGCCCTCGGGTTATCTTCACTTAAACCACACATGGTGTCATATGTCTGTAAAACACAGCACTTGGGACCTGAAACTCAAGGCTATCCTTGGCTGCATAGCCAGAATAAGGCCAGCCTGGGTTACGGGAGACACTCTCAAAAAGAAAAAGACGAGAAAAAAAAAAAAAAAAAAAAAAAGCAAACACAATGAACATTATTCCATTATATATCCAGTAGTTTAAATTAATGAAACAGGTGATACCAAGATAGAACCAAGAATACCAAGACGGAACAGCAGGCCTGCACACCTGGAACCCTCACAGCGGGCCTGCACACCTGGAACCCTCACAGCGGGCCTGCACACCTGGAACCCTCACAGCGGGCCTGCACACCTGGAACCCTCACAGCGGGCCTGCACACCTGGAACCCTCACAGCGGGCCTGCACACCTGGAACCCTCACAGCGGGCCTGCACACCTGGAACCCTCACAGCGGGCCTGCACATCTGGAACCCTCACAGCGGGCCTACACACCTGGAACCATCGTACACCACTGGCAGGAATGCACACTGATACAGGAACTTTGAATTGACTTGGCCCTATATTCAAAAAACATCCACCCTGACCACTCCATGGCTGCCCAATCCCACCTGCTGCCCATCTTGCAGTCCATGATAGAGGGGCCCTCAAAGTCAGCCAGGAGATCTTCCATCTGGTTGAAGGCCTGGCCATCCCGATGCACCATGCCGTAATAAGCAGGCACAAAAGGCTGCAGGGGGTCTCCCATGAGCTGTTCCAAGCTGCGCTGCTCACACTGACAGAAACGCTTCAGAATCCGACCATCCTCACCAGCTTGGAAGTTCCCTGTGGGAAGCAAGCAAGATCAAGGAGAGACTGCATCAGACGGAGACCTGCCACCACTTACTCCCCTGTATGCATCATACCAGCCATCGCCATCTTGCCGGACACTTTCAGCAATGCTGTCTCTCCCTTCTTTTCTGTTGTGTTGACTTGAGATGGGGGCATTTTGTTTGTTTGTTCTGAGTCAGCTGGCCTTGAACGCATAAAGATCTCACCTGCCTCTGCCTGCCACCCAGTGCTGGGACTTAAGGCTCCCACGTCCAGCTCACACCTTGCTTTAGATGGGTTTATTTCTACTCTCTGTTGTTTATAGAGGGTCCTATTGACAGCACAGTATACTATTATTTATTTTGCAAGGCAAAAAATTCATTTATTTTGCCTTGAGTTTCAGGTCCCAAGTGCTGTGTTTTACAGACATATGACACCATGTGTGGTTTAAATGAAGATAAACCCGAGGGCTTCATGTATGCTAGGCAGGTAGTCTGCCAACTGAGCCACATTCCCAGCCCCAAGCCAGACTGTTATTTTGCATTTTTACTTTTATTTGTATGTTGTGTGTGTGTGTGTTCACAGAGGCCAGAAGAAGGTATCAGAAAACCCCTAGAGCTAGAGTTACATACAGGCAATTGCAAGCTGCCCAACATGGATGCTGGAATCCAGGACAGGCCTTGAGGAGCAATGCATGCCCTTAACCACTGAGCCATCACGTCAGATCCTATTTCTTAATTTAAAAAATGTTTTGTGATTGTTCTGTGTGAACCTGTGCATGATGCGATTAAGGGTGAATGGGTGCCAAGACCATCTTGTGGAGGCAGTTCTCTCCTCCAACATGGACTCCAGGGATTCAACTCAGGGCATCAGGCTTGCCCAGAAAACGCCTATATTCCATGAGCCACCTGGCCAGCCCCGTTTTGTAGTTCTGAATGGGTGCTGTTGTCCTCAGAGGGAACTCTATGAGATCTGGGTTAACAACATGATTCTCCACAACAGACTTGTACATGCAAAAGCCATTTGGTCTATCTAAATTAATTCATGTTAGAAACAGTGGCTTGAGCCTATAATCCCAGAAATTAGAAATTAGAAAGTTCAGGCAGGAGAACTGACTCAAGTTTGAGCCTAGTTCAGGATACACAGTGAATTCAAAGCAAGCCTGGGCTTCACAGCAAGACTCCAGGTTTAAAATAAGTAAATAAAACTCATAATTCTGGCATTATCTGGAGCACTTACATGGCTAAGGTAGAATTCCAAATTTTTCCGTTTTGTTTTTGTTTTGTTTGCTTTTTTGTTTGTTTGTTTGTTTGTTTTCAGGGTAAAGGGATAGTTTTGCTTTGCTTTGTTGACATTAAGGTCTTGCTACGAAGCCCAGGCTGGCCTCTAACTTGGCAATCCCCCTGCCTCAGCCTTCCAAGTGCTGGGATTATAAAGTGTGCCAAACCAGGAGTGGTGGTGCAATCTTTTAATCCCAGCATCTGTGGGCAGAGGCAAGAGGATCTCTGTGAGTTTGAAATCTGCCTGGTTTACATAGTGTGTTCCAGGCCAGTTAGGACTATACAGTGAGACCCTGTCTCAAACAAACAAGCAAATAATAATAAATGTTGCCACCATGCCTAGCTTTCAGGTTATATTCTCCAAAGATGGTGGCAACAGTGTTTTCTGTTCCACCTAAGATATTTGCTGTGTGCTGAGACACACAAAGGCCATGTGGCTTTGGTTTGAGGGTCTACTCTGCAGGAGATACAAGAAGAGTTCAGGGATTCATTCCTGTTTCTCAGTGGCCTGTGTCCCACTCTCTCAACACTTTGCTCTTAACTCTTCAGTTGATCCTGCAAAGGTGGTAAGATTCCTTCTGTATTAATGTGGGAAACTGAATTCCAGGAAGGGAGAGAACAAGCCTGTCTAGGGTCACCCTAAATAAGGCACAGAAGCAGGATGTGAAGCAGTACCCATCCACTCCAAAGTGAAGACTCAACCAACCAACAGAATGCTAAGGAACCATGTCTACCCAGACCTAGCCAGGTGTGGTAGCACACCTTTGATTCCAGCACTCAGGAGGCAGATCTGAGTGGATCTCTGTGAGTTCAAGGCCATTCTGGTCTATAGAGTGAGTTCTGGGCCAGCAAGGGCTACATAGACTCTATCTCAAAATAAATAATTACTAGGCCAAATGTTTCTCATAGCAGCCCCATAGTGTGGAAACTGTCACCAAGCCAATAGTAAAGGCAAATGAAACTATACAGAGCAGTGCTCTTCCTAGCCCAAATGCCCATGCCAAGCCCTGACTGTCTGTCCACCGAATCCCCCAGTCTCACCAGCATGTCCGGAGAGCTGGACCCAGGGGTAGTGGTGCTTACGGAAGGACACCACGAAGGGCGAGTACTTCAGAGCTGTCTTCAGTTTCTTCCAGGGCTTGCTCTGTAGGGAGGGCGAGCATGAGGTATGGGTCAAGGCCAGGGAATTACTGTCCTGGGGGCTTCATGGTCCCCAAGCTTATTGGGGTTACCAACCCCCACTTAGTCCAGCCGGTGGGGAAGTCTGCCTCTATTACTTTCTTTGTTCTGTCTCTGTGTCTCTGTCATATGAGCAAGGATTGGCTAGGTTTGGTTACCATAGCAATCACCAAAATTCAGTATAGTCTAAAACCCACATCACAAAATGTGGAAGCCAAGCCTCTCTGCCTCTAAATAAAGGTCAGATCTGGAGCAAACCATAGAGGCAAGAGTGGAGGAATGAAGACCAGCCACAGAGAGAGGCAGATGACAAAGATGAGGAGCTTTGGTTGTCCCCCTTCTGACAGACTCTCATCCTCTTTTTTTTTTTTTTAATTTGTTTACTTTTATTTTATTGGTATTTTGCCTGCAAGTATGTCTGTGTGAAGGTATCAGGTCCCCTGGAACTGAAGTTACAGACAATGGTGAGCTGCCATGTGGGTGCTGGGAATTGAAGCTGGGTCCTTTGGAAGAGCAGCCAGTGCTCTGAACCGCTGAGCCATCTCTGCAGCCCCAACTGTCCTCCTGAACTGAGGTTAATGACTTGCTGTGCCAGTGAACTGTCACCAGAAGCGTTACTTCCAGGTGGAAGCTGCAGAGCCAATTCAGATGCCCCATGTTCAGCTCCATATTGGAGGCAGGGAGCTAGGCAAGCGAAGAGGCCTCGGCCACTAAAGGGTGACAGCACAGAGCAGGACCCCCACCCCGCAACCATAGCTAATTCGTTGTGCAGTATGAGCAAAAGTAAACTTTTGCTGTTGCTCTAAGTCATTCAGCTTTGGGGGCAATTTGTTACTATAGCAGATCCTTAAAAGAATATTTAGACTTATTTCTATTTATGGAAGTTTTGCCTACATGTATGTATGCGAACCATATGCATGCTGGGGCTCATGGAGGTCAGAAGGCACTGACTCCCCCGAAACTGGAGTTTATGGATGGTTGTGCACCATCATGTGGGTGCTGGGAACTGAATCCAGGTCCTCTGTAAGAGCCCGGGATCTGAACCCTGAGTCATCTCAGCAGACCTTCATTGACTTTGATGAACAGGGAGATAAGCAAGGAGACCTCAAAAGAAATATAGAGGGGCTAGAGAGATGGCTCAGAGGTTGAATGCATACTGTTCTTACAGAGGACCTCAGTTACCCACACTAGATACCCCCTGTGGCAGTTCACAACCGCCTGCAACTCCTGCTCCAGAGGATCTGACACCCTTTTCTGGCCTCCATAGGCACTAAACTCATGTGGAACCTCCACTCCTACACAGGTATTTACATAATTAAAAAAAAATAAATAAAATCTCATGTAGAGCATGGAACACACCTTTAATCCTAGCACTTGGCAGTCAGATCTCTGTGAATTCAAGGCCAGCCTAATCTGCATAGCTTCCAGGCTCAAGCTGGCCAGAGTGACACAGGGAGGCCCTGCCTCAAAAACAAACAAACAAACAAATAAATAAATAAACTAATTTATTGTGGGTGTTTTTTGTTGTTGTTGGTGGTGGGTTTTTTTTGTTGTTTGTTTTTGTTTTGAGACAAGGTTTCTCTGTGTAGTTCTGGCTGTCTTGGAACTTGTTCTGTAGACCAGGCTGACCTCGAACTCCCAGAGATCTACCTGCTTCTATGTCTTGAGTGCTGGGACTAAAGGCATGCACCACCACCACCCAGCAAAAGTATTAATTTTTAAAAAAGAAAAAAAAATATGAAAAGTCAGGCAGGCACGTCTCTAATCCCAACACTTGGGAAGTTGAGGCCAGCCTCAACTACATAACTACATGTGTAGCCTGGGCTACAAGAGACTCAGTTTCTCTTTGTTTGTTTCTTTGTTTAGTTTAGGTTTTCGAGACAGAATTTCTCTGTGTAACAGCCCTGGCTGTCCTAGAACTCGCTCTGTAGACCAGGCTGGCCTCGAACTCCCAGAGATCCACCTGCTTCTGTGTCCTGAGTGCTGGGATCAGAGGTGTGCACCACTACACCTAGCTGAGACCCTGTTTCAGGGTAACAAAAATTAGAGCCAACAAGATAGTTGAGGGTGGAGAGGGTGGGGATCGGGGGTAAAAGTGCTTGCTGACTTCAGTTCAATCCCCAGAACCCAAAAAAGCAAGACTACAGAAGCATGGTAGAAAGAAAAAGATAGATGGAAGGAAAGGGAAAGAGCTGGGGGTGGAGGGAGAGGTTGAGAGAGGGAGTACAACAGAAGACCAGAGAAGGGGCGGTGCGGCTCAGCAAGAGTGTGAAGACACAGCCACACAGGGCTCTGGACCTGATCCCAGCCCTGCTCAGAAAGAACCAAATCCACAGCAGGACTCAAGCAACTGCATCATGCCCCTTCAGGTCTGGCTGAGGCATGTGTTCGTGCCTACACACACACACACACACACACACACACACTTACCCCAGGCACGCGGTGGCCCTCAGCGTGAACTGGGAGAGTAGGTCACCTACAGAGAAGGAAGCTGTGTGCTCACCCTGCATCGCCCCCAGGGTCAAGGGCATGTTTTCTCCCAGCTCTCCAGCAGATAGCAAACTGGAGGGAGCCAGGTGCTGAGCAGGGCGTCAGGGTGGTGGACAGCATGGGATCCAGGAAGGACTGTTTTCTCCCATGGGGAGGAGATGATTAATCAAGGTTCCTGTTTACTAAGCACCTGGAACATTCCAGGCACCATGACAAAGACTCTGTGTGCCATACCCTATTTAATCCTAAAAACAGCCCCGGGAAGATTGTTGTCTGTGTCACAGGGGAGGAAACAGACTCAGAGGTGAAGCCTCTGGCCTATAGTTACCAGGCACAGTGCTGGGTTTCTGGTTCTACTCTGACCCCATTGCCCTGGAGCTTACCCACTGCATTCCAGCTGGACTGAAGCTTATGGAGCAGGGGGCTGCTGGGTTACAAGTGTGTCTCTAGCACCTGGTGTGACACAGCAGGTGTTTTGAAAACATTGCTTGGAATGAAGGTTACTAGACAGTCTTTTATTATCATAAACATGTAGTATCCTCTCTCTTTCTCTTGTTCACCAGTACTGGAGATGACATCCTAGACCTCCTACATGCTACACAAGCTCACCACAAGTGCTTTACTACGGAGCCACACCCCCAGCCCCTCACTGGGGGATTCTAGGCAGGGGCTCTACCACTGAGCCACACCTCCAGCCCCTCACTGGGGGATTCTAGGCAGGGGCTCTACCACTGAGCCACATCCCCAGGCCTTTCTCTTTTAAGTATATCTTAATCAGGGCTTTCTGGAAATAGTTTATCATGGTCTCAGCTCGTACGTCCCCCTCCTCCAGGAAGCCCTAGATCTGACCACCTGTATACCAGAGACTCCCACAACCCCCTAAGCTTCTCTCATTCATCCCTGACCACACAAGCTACTAGTGTCTGGAGACTCATCTGTGTCTTGAGGGAGGCGACTCTCTGTGAGTTCAAGGTTTTAACTCTGGTCTATGTGGAGTTCCAGGCCAGACAGGACGACATGGTGAGACCCCGTGTTAAACCTGAGAGTCATGAGGATAATGTTTTAGTCTCACATTTGTCTCAGAAGATTAAAAAGAAAGAGCCCTGTCTTGATCCCCAGTATCCCCAGCAGTACAGGTGCTCAGGAAACAATCATTATCTATTTAGAACAGGATGGGGAAAAGGAAGGAAAGGCCAGTTAGGATTCGGAGTTCAAGGTCACCTTCAGCTACATAGTAGAGTTCAAGGCCAGCCTGAGCTATGAGATTTTGTTTTAAAAACAAACAAGGTGGGGGGGGGGGGTGACATAACTGGGACACTATGGTCGGATGTGATTTCAGAACTAAGAGAAGGAGGCAGGGGCTGTCAGCAGCGAGACAGCACCTGCAGGCAGGAAAGCGGTCATGGGCGACCTCGGACACCCAGGCTGAACAGCAGGACACTTAGGACAGCAGAGGGCGGCCACCTGAAGACCGGAGGCTCTGACGCAGCCTTGAGCTCCCGAGGGCTCTGGGAAGGCAGAGGAAGTGTCTTGGTGAGTGTGGCAACTGAGGAAGCTTCTGGAAAGATGAAGAATTTGAGACAAAGAGGCCTTAGGAAGAAGGCAAGATGGAGACAGGCGCATAGGCCAAAGGCGCTAACACGGAAACTTTGAAACTCAGCCAGAAATAAGTCCAAAATCGTGGGTTTTGACTTGACTTAGACAATACTAAGCACAAGATGCCTCTCTGTGCCTCAGTTTCCCCATCTATAAAACAAAGATGAGAAGAACGCTCATCTCTCGGTACTGCTGGGACTCAGAGGACAAACCTGAAAGTTTCAGGCCATCCTAGGCTACAGAGTCAATACTGTCATAGCCAATGTCAAACTAAAGAGAAGAGAAGGAAGGGAATAGAAAGAGAAGGAAGGGAGGAAAGGATGGAGGGAGGGAGGGGAGGGCAGGCAAGGAAGCGCTGTGTACAGGCTTGTAACCTCAGCTACTTGGGAGGCTGACTGAGGCAGGAGGAGAGGACAGAGAATGTAGCTCAGTGGTAGCCTGCCTAGCATTCACAAGGCCCTAGAGTCGAGGTTCAATCACACACACACACACACACACACACACACACACACACACACACACACAGAACAGAAGCAGGGCCAGTGAGATGGCTCAGCAGATAAATGTACTTGCTGCCAAACCAGACAGCCTGAGTCTGATCCCTGGATCCCACACAGCAAGAGGAGAGAAACAACTTCCCCGAGTTGCCCCGTGACCTTCATGTGCATGCTGCAGCATGTGCACATCCACACACTAAACAGAGTCAATAAATACAAGGAACAAAACAGCAAAGCAAAGAGGTATAAAGCACCTCGAGCAGGGCATGGTAAAGCACGGCTGTAATCCAAGCACTCAAGAGGCTGAGGCAAGAGCATGGCCTTAAGTTCAAAACCAGCCAGGGTTATAGCTGCACAGAGTGAGTTCCAGGCTGGCCTGTACTACTCAACAAGACTACTTAACAAGTCTCAAAAAAAGACAGAGAGAGGGGATAGGAGAGAAGGGATGGAGGGGAGGGAAAGGAGGTAGACATCTAGACAGGCATTTACAGTTTCTAGTATATGAGAAGGGTTTGAATATATATAGGCAGCTCAGGCACATTTCAAACTTAGGTTAATCTTTTTCCTTCAGCCTCCCAAATGCTGAGATTACAGGTGTAAGCCCCAGCACCAAGCCTAGGGGCTAAATCTTTGTTTGTTTATAGATAGGGTCTCACTATGTCACCACTCTGGCTGGCCTGGAATTCACTATGTGGACCAGATATACCTGCCTCTGCCCACGGGATTAAAGGCGTGCACCACCACATGGCTTCCAGGTGGTCGAATCTTAAGTGTGTGACCTCCTTGGATGAGTGATTTCATCTCTTGTGCCTCAGTTTCTTCATCTATAAAAAGGAATAACAATAGTATGTGTGTCATAGGGCTGCCGTGAGGCGTAATGAACTAGCGGAGCGTGATGTGAGTGTGACAGTTGCAGCCATCCATGTTGCTGTTGTTATTAGTCACCCAGTTCCAGCTCAGCTGTATGGAGATGTCAAAGAGCTGAGAGGGTAGACACAGAGAAGAGCCATGGCAGAAAGCCCTGGGGGCTTGGCTCTTTTGTGTGGGCATTAGCACGTCTAGGCAGGTCTGGTTCTCACAGCTGGGGCCACATGTGTGAACACGTCCCTGAGGGAGGTACACTAGCTAAAGGGGGATCAAGGTGGATCCCAAGGGCCCAAGCTCAGTAGGAGGACTCCACAGACAAGCTGGCAAGCAGATGGACTCTGAACTCCACCTCAGGCTCTTTTCCACACCTGCTTCTGCTCTGCCGACTCCCTCCCTGAACCTGCCCTGCTTGCTCCTCTGATTCATCAGGAGAGAGCCGCACCCACGCTGGGGGTGAAGGTAGAAGATGCAAATAAGAGTCTGAAGGGGCCCCCGGGGAGCACAGGACTATAGGGAGACTAGGTGGGTACCTGGGTAGGTTGAGGATCCCTGAGCATTTTGCCCTTTGAACATCTAATGAAAAGCCAGAGATAGCCAGCATGGTGCTCATGCATGTAATTCCAGCACTTTGAAGGACTGAGGTAACAAGATCCTTATCACAAGTTCAAGGCCAGCCTGGTAGGTACCTGGCATGGCTGAGGATCCATAAGCATTTTGCCCTTTGAACTTTTTTTTTTTTAAGATTGTATTTTTAATTATGTGTATGTGGGTGTGGGCAGGCATATGTGACTGCTGGTACCCATAGAGTCAGAGGCATTGGATCCCCCTGGAAATGGAGTTACAGGCAGTTGTGAGCCACCCCACCGTGCTGGAAATTGAGCTCTGGAGTCTTTTGCAAGGGCAGTATGTGCTTTGTTTTGTTTTACAAGACAGGGTTTCTTTGTATAGCTTTAGAGCCTATCCTGGAACTCACTCTGTAGACCAGGCTGGTCTCGAACTCAGAGATCCGCCTGCCTCTGCCTCCTGAGTGCTGGGATTAAAGGTGTGTGCCACCACCGCCCAGCCCAGTATGTGCTGAGCCATCTCTACAGCCCCCTTAAATAGTTAATGAAAGCTAGAACAGATGCTTGTTGGCTCATCCCAGCCTTTGGGAAGCTCAAGGTAGCAAAACTGTCCTAAGTTCACGGCTAACCTAGATACATGTTGGATACCTGGCTATTCCTGACTATTTGGCCCTCTGACCATCTAATGAAAGCTGGAGAGAGCAGGCATGCCTATAAGCCCAGCCTTGAAAAGGCTGATGGGGGACTGGGGAGATGGCTCAAAATACCTGTGCTCCTGCAGAGGGCTGGGGTTCGATTCCCAGCACTGACATAATGGCTCATAACCATCTGTAAATCCAGTTCCCAGGGCTCTAACCCCACCCCACATGACCTTCCAGGGAGCACATGCATGCACACAGTACACATACATACATGCAGGAGAAACACTCATACACATAAAATAAACAAATAAAAGTTTTAAAAAAGGCTTAAGGCATCAGGATGGCCACGAATTTAAGGCCAGCCTTGCTTACAGTGAATATAGTCTACACAGCAAACTCTATCTCAATGGGGGTGGCGGGGGGAGGCACACAGCACTATGGAACTTGTCAGTAATCCCAGCACTTAGGGCAGCAGAGGCTGGATAATCAAGAGTTCAAAGCCAGCCTCAGTTACATAGGAAGTTTGAGGTTGAGGTTACAGAAGAGTGTCTAAAGAGGAAACAAAGTAAAAAAGAAAAAAAAAAAGGACAAATAGGCCATGAGTTCAATCAAGACATCTGAGAATGAGTGTGCATTCCTTCTACCTTATTGGTGTTCCTCAGAGCTGGTTCTCAGACCCCTCCAGAGGACTCAACAGAAGTCACAGACCTTTCACGTAAAACTATGTGTCCACACAGACTTACACAACGGTACAATGTCAGATGCTCCTAGGCAAGATGGAGTCAGTCAGTGATCCTCCACTGCAGACTGGCCGCCCCCCAGAACAAGTGACCAAGGCAAAAAGACAGAAAGGAAAGGGGAAAGGGTTAGTAACCTGGCTGTCAGAGGGAGGTGGTCTGCGGATGGAAGCGATATCTAGAGAACACTTTCTAAGCCAAGGCAGAACGGATGGGAGGATAAGAGATTTGGGGTGGAGGGCATGCTCTGGGTCCTACTCACTCCAGATCTGTCCTCCGGATCGCTGGTACCTCCGCCCCCAGCTACCAAGTCATCCTCAGATTCATCAAAAGAGGAGGCAGAGGAGAAGCCGCCAGTGCCCCCCTCAATCCGGGATGGGGGTCCCACGGGTTGGGCCTCAGGCTCAGGAGTCTCAGGGGTGATGATGAGGCGGGGTACAGGACACAGGGAGCTGCACTCCAGGTGGGAGCACAGGTTAGTCACCAACTCCCCAGGCTCTGGTTCCTCTAATGGATCATCTCCATTGGACTCCCCCAAAACGCTGTCAGCCCAGGGACCATCAATGCCAGGTTGAATCCAGGCACCATCAGTGTCTTGTGTTGAAAAACCATTACTTCCAGGCTCTTTCCAGGCTGTCTGAGAACTCTGCCGTATGAGGGAGCCATGAGTTTGGGAGTCTGTCCAGGAGCCGTCAGTGTTATGTGGTGTCCTGGAACCATGCGCGGATGATTCTTTGCAGGGGCCATCAGCCCTTGGTTCTGGTGAGGGGCAGCCTCCGTCTGGGTGAGTTTGGAGTTTGGACGTGCTGTGGTGGGTCCGGAGGTGATCAACCCAGGGCTTGTCCCTCTCTGGCAGAGTCTGCCACAGCTCGAGTCTTTCCAGTCCGGTCCAGGACTCATCAAGCCCTGGTTGGATACAGAGGCTGGCTCTCTTTGGCTGAGACTGGAGGTCGGATTTATGAGGATCAGTTCGAAAGCCATCTGTCCAGGAACCGGCCATCTCCATCTCTACCCCGGGGCTGTTCCTTTCTGGATGTGTCTGGAGGTTGGACCCGTCTAGCTCCTTATTTTGGCTGGGCTTCTCCGACTCTGCTCCTAGGCCAGCTGCTTCGCACACCGCGTGCCCATCTCCACAAGATTCTGCCTGTGGATCATCCGGACACCTCACAGGCCCGAGGTCGGTTCTCTCCGCCTCAGAGTGCAGGCTGGACCCCTCAGTCCAGGCCTGAGGCCCGCCCCTCTCGGACCGTCCCGTCGGGCCACCCGCTCCCGGCCCAGGTCGCTGCAGTCCCGGCTGTCGCCGCCGCCCACCTCGCAGCGCCTCCAGCCCCATGCGGGCCCCGGCGGGCAGTGCTCCGGCCTCCGCCTCGCTCAGGCTCCCCCGGCACGGGCAGCGCCTCATGCCCGCTCCCTCGGCTCGGGCTTCAGCCCGTCCGGCCCCACCTTCCCCTTTAAATCCTACGAGGGGTGTGGCTGGGGCGCCCCAACTCGTGGGTTCCGGCCCGCGGAGCTCCAGGCCGCCCGGACACGCAGGGGTTAACCGATACTCCACCTCCCAGGGAAAGCCCGAAACACCGCCCCCCACCGGATGTGACGAACGTGGGGCGGAACCTCGGCTGGCGCCGCGGGTCTCGCTGGGAAAGAGCTGTGTGCGCCTGGTGCTGGTCTGGGTCTAGGTCGCGCGCGGACCCTTTTCCCTACATCACATCAGCCTTACTCCAACCCACGCACAAGTTCAGCCACGCATTCATTCAACATTCAGGGACAAGATGGACTTTCCAAAGACTTAAGAGACCCCACGGGCGTAAGTTTGAGTGCCTCCGCAGTCACTTCCCAGCCGTTACCTTGAGCGAGTGTCTTTACCTACTTCGACTAAATTTCCCGTAAGAAACCTGATGTCTAGATGGGCACGGTGGTACAAGCCTGTAATCCCAGCACTTGGGAGGTGGACGTAGGAGGTTCAGGAGTTCAAGGTCATCTTCAGCTCCGTAGTCAGTCCCAAGTCTGGGCTACAAGAGACCCGTCACAAAACACACACACACACACACACACACACACACACACACACACACGGGGACTGAGATAATTTAGCAGGTCCATCGAGCCTGATGACCTGAGTTCTATCCCACGACCACGTGGAGATTTATGCTCCCACCACACAGCACAAATAAATGTTCGGGGTTTTTGTTTTTAAAGAATTCCGGGGCTGGAAAGATGGCTCAGCAGTTAAGAGCACTATGTGCCCCTGTCGGGATTGGAGTTTGTTTTCCAGCACCCTCTATGGGGGCCGGCAGTCATCTGTAACAACAATTCCAGAGGATTGGATACCCTCTTCTGGCTGCCTGAGGGCATGCACAGGGTACAAAGACATATATGCAGGCAAAAACACTTATACACATAAAATAAAAATAATCCAGTGGGTGGTGGTCCATGCCTTTGATCCCAGCACACGGGAGGCAGAGGCAGACCTGGATGGCTTTGTGGTCCCAGTTCACCAGGGGGAACTTTGAGACTTCTGCCCTTCCCTAGCCTTTGTTTGTAATGTGTGCTCTGAACTCGGGTATATGAAGTATGTGGTACAAGTCCATAGTGAGTCATGGCCCTCTGGATTATTGTCTGAGGTGATTTCTCAGCCTGTCCCTTATGGTGAGCAGTCTGCAGCTCCCGAGTCAGACCCTCGCCTTTGGAGGAGGACAGGAGGTGCTTTCAGTCTTGAAATTGAGTCACCCATGTGAGGGACGTTGAGCACAGGCCCAAGGCTCCAGGATGAGTCATCTCTTCACAGGCTAATGAGAAGTCAGAGACGGGAACCCACCTCATACATTATACAAATTTGAGAACATGCAGTCCAGAGGCGGAGGAGGGCTCTTCTGAGGTCACAAAGCAAAGGGACAGACACAGGGAGACCTAATTCCGGACAAAGAGGGTAGGGCTAGACAGAGAGGAAGGTGCCGTAAGGAACACATCTGCAGTGTTCCCTCTCTTCCGTGGTGGGAAAGATGTCCCAACCACCAGCTGTTTCTATTCCAGACAAGAAGAATGAGTCAATTTTCTTCCATGCCAAGGCTCCTGACTCAGCACTGGGAATCTTGACTGAGTATGTTCTGGGAAATGTCAATCCTTCAGGAGACAGAGCGCCCCCACTGAGGCCATCTCCTGAGTGGGTGGGGAGTAGAGAGCAGGGTGCAGAAGGGAACACAGGCACAGTATGCAGCCAAGGGGAGTTACGTTGAAGGCCTGAGCGGGAAAACAGTTCATAAGCAAGGCAGTGGAATTAAATGTGCAAGGAGGGAGGCTGAGTGCCAGGATGTGGGTGTTGGTGCAGACTGGAGAGGCTCTGTGTGCGAGGAAAATGTTTGGAAGACTGTGTTCAGATTGCTGAGGGCGTGGCTCAGTGCTGTGGGATGGTGAACCCCAGTCTACAGCTCAGTGGTCGAGAAGCTTGCTTAGCATGCGCGTGCACAGGATTTGTGCATCCACTGGGGGTAGATCTAAACACATAGGATAGCTTTTGAGCTCGTCAGGAGGAAATGTAGCCCGATGTTAATAGTGCAGACCTGCAATTTCAGGAGGTGGGAAGTGGGAGACAAGATCAGGAATTCAAGGGCATCCATCATTGGCTACAAGAGAGAGGGAGGAGGTTGAAAGAGAAAAAAATAGGGAGGAGAGAAGGGGAGGGTGCTTCCTATGCTTTCAAGAAAGACCATGGGTTATCTGGTGCTCACGTGCCTACCGGCTGACCTTGAAGACCCATTGAGCCAATGCCTAGGTCCCACTCCCTTGCCACGCCTCCTCACTCAGCAGGGTGTATTTTGTACACGTCAGCAAGCTGCTGCGCTACCATTGGCTGGATGGTCGGAGGGGGACGGGCGTGCAGATGTTCCCGGAAGCTCAAGACGCCCGGCGTGTGCTACACTGGGAGCCTGAGCCTAGTGGACTGGGTGCTTAGCAACGGGGGAGGTGCCCCGTAACGGGGGTGTTTTGGGGGGAACAGGGGAGGAATTGTGGATACTTAGCAGCCCAGGGTAAGGCGGTGCCTAGCAACAAGAGGGGCTCTGAGAAGTAGAGAGCAGTCCTGGAGGATCTGTGGGTGTCTAGCAACGGGGAGAACCCTAGCAACGGCGAGGCGTATGGTGCGGGGCGGGGGGGGGGGGGAGGCGCTTAGGAAAAACCTGAGTTCTTAGCAATGGGGGGGGAGGGGTAAGTAGGAGAAACTTGGAAATAAATTAACGGGGAGAGGGGGTTCAAAGAACGGGGCGAAACCAGGAGGCCCAGTCTTGTAATCCTTACTATCCCTTAGGCAATGTGGCTGGAGCTAGGGGCCGTGCTGCGCGGGACCCGTGGACTGCTGGGCAGGACTGTTCATCTGCCCTGTGGGGCCCTGGGGCTTAGGCCCCACTGGTGGGTAAGAGGCTGAGGAGGGGGCTCCCAAAGAAAAGAGTCTGAGGGAAGCTTGAGAGGGTAAAATGATCGAGAGGCATCCAAAAAGGAGGGCTAGCTCTCCACTCTACTAAAATCCACTTCTCTGCAGGGACCATGTAGGGGTTGTCGGGCCCAAAATGTTCATCAAGACCGGCCTGGAAGAGGCCTAAGTGAGGAGGACATTCGCAGGGCACGAGAGGCCCGCCTCAGGAAGGCACCCCGGCCCCAGGTATCATTGCTCCCTGCCCCCTACCCCCCTTGATACTCGGGGAGGCCACTGGACCCCCATCTTGAGGAAGGTGGCAGCAGGCTGGCAGGGCTCTTCTGCCACTCTGCCCACCTTCCCTGCCTCACACCTTCTTACCTTTCTCAGCTTAGTGATCGCTCTCGTGAACGCAAGGTACCTGCCTCCCGCATCAGTCGCCTGGCCAGCTTTGGGGGTAGGTGTGGCTTGGGGGATCTTCATGTGACCTAGATCAGAGGCAACATTTGCAGGGTGAGGTAAGGGAAGGGATGAGTCAGAGACAGGGTGAGAAGGGAGAGACTTGCAAATCCCAGAAAAATAGAGATGTGAACCTTAACATTTATTGAGAACCTGCAATGAGCAAGCTCTTGTACAGTGTGTACTTTTTTCTTCTGTTGATGGAGGAGTGGAGGCCGGGGGGTGTGGGGGAATGTGGGGGTGTGTGTGGGTGTGGGTGTGTGTGACCTGACTTTAGGTCCTGTAGCAGGATTGTTCAAACCTGTATGAAATAAAGGAATGTGTTGCAACCAACGTTTAAGAAAGGAGAGGAGGAGGAGGAGGCCATCCATCTGTAATTTCAGCAGTTGCCATGTAGGTAGAAACAGGAAGACAAGTGTTCAAGATCGTCACTGGCTACATAGTGAGTTTGAGGCCAGCCTGGGCTACAAGAGACCCTGTGTAAAGGAGGGAGGGAGAGAGAGGGAGAGGAGGGGCTGGGCATGGTAACGCCGCAGCTTTCGTAATCTCTGCTCCTGAGAGGCTGAGGCCAGAGGATTGAAGAGCCAGGCCTGGTGGTGCATGCTGGAGGTCCAGCTGCCCGTCAGGTTAATGTAGGGCTGCTTGAACCCACAAATTCACCTGGGCATCGTGGACCTTTTCTCAAAAAAGAAAGGGAAGCCAGGCGGTGGTGGCGCACGCCTTTAATCCCAGCACTCGGGAGGCAGAGCCAGGCGGATCTCTGTGAGTTCGAGGCCAGCCTGGGCTACCAAGTGAGTCCCAGAAAAGGCGCAAAGCTACACAGAGAAACCCTGTCTCGAAAAACCAAAAAAAAAAAAAAAAAAAAAAAAAGAAAGGGAGAGGAGGGGAGGAAATTAGAAAGAAGAGAGAGAGAGAGGAAGGAAGGAAGAAAAAGAGAGAGAAAATAGCATAGAAGAAAATACAAATAAATATTGAATATGGATATGTATGTTTATACACATATGATCTTGTTTGGTTTTTTGTTTTGTTTTGTTTTAAAGAATTATTTATTATGTATAGTGTTCTGCCTGCATGCATGTCTGCAGGCCAGAAAAGGGCACCAGATCTCATTACAGATGGTTGTGAGCCACCATGTGGTTGCTGGGAATTGAACTCAGAACCTCTGGAAGAGCAGCCAGTGCTCTTAACCTCTGAGCCATCTCTCCAGCCCCTCTTGTTTGTTTTTGAGGCAGGGTTTCATTATGCAGCCCTAGCTGCCTGAAAGCAGGCCATCCTGGAACTCATAGATCAGCCTGCCGCTGCCTCCCAAGTGCTGGGATTAAAGGTGCACTCCACTCCTAACACCCCTCAACACACAAATGCTTTTTCTGATAGTATCTCCTTTAAGCTAGTCTGGCCTCAAACCCCTGAGCCTTCTCATCCACCTTCCAGGTGTTCAGATAACAGGCCCTGCTCTCTACAGGTTACTATAATGTAAATCTCTTGTTCATCACAGGTCATAGCTCAGATGTTAAAAGTAGGCTCAGTTGAGCATTCTGAGTAGAACCTGGGCAACGGTATGCCCAGGGTTTCAGAGGAGGGGGATATTCTCATTTATGATTGGGAAATTTACTTCACTTCTCTGAGCCTCACTTTCCCTTCCTACAAAATGTGAGTTTTTCTGTCACATACATTTCACAGAGGTGCAAGAACAAAACTAGGTAATACATGGGACACACTGGCATCAGTACACAACATGGAGATACAGAAGGAGAACATAGCATACTTGGCAAATGCTAGCTGCAAGCTAGAGATAGGGACAGTGAAAGAGGCATGGAGCCTAGCATATCTTTATGGGATGGAGAGATGGCTCAGAGGTTAAGAACACTGTCTGCTCTTCCAGAGGTCCTGAGTTCAATTCCCAGCAACCACAACCACGTGGTCGCTCATAACTGTCTATAGTGGAATCTGATGCCCTCTTCTGGCATAAAGTAGGATATATATAGATATATATAGAAAAAGAGTCAAAGTCTGGAGTGGTAGTACACACCTTTAATCCCAACAGTTAGGCAGATCTCTAAGTTCTAGGCCAACTTGGTCTATAGAGCCAGTTCCAGGCCAGCTAGGGCTACACATTGAGTGCTTGTCTCCAAAAAATATACAAGAGGAGAATGAAAGCAGAAGAGAACATTAAAGGAGGGAATGAAGAGTGGGCCTGGGTTATCCCATATTGCAGGGAGAGGAAACCATGGGAAATAGGTGACTTGGGCATAAAGAGAAGGGCTGAGAAGCAATTCCAGGATACAGCTTGGAGTTGACATCCCTTAGGCCCTGGGTTCCATCCCCAGAACTGCATGGGGGAATATATATATTTGTTTTTATTTTTCAAGACAGGCTTTCTCTGTGTAACAGTCTTGGCTGTCCTGGGACTCTCTTTGTAGACCAGGCTGGCCTCAAACTCACTGAGATCTGCCTGCCCCTGCCTCCCAAGTGCTGGGACTAAAGGTGTGTACCACCACCGCCTGGCAAATAAATATATATGTATAAAGGAATAAAAAAGTAAGGCCAAGTAAGGTGGCATATGCTTAAAATCTCAGCACTGGGAGGTGAAAGTTGGAGAATCAGGAGTTCAAGGTAACATAGCGAGTTTTAGGCTAGACTGAAAAAGCCAGTTCCAGACCAGACTGGCCAACTTAGTAAGACCCTGTCTTCATTTTTTTTTTTTTTTTTTATGCTAGGGATGTAGAATTTTTGGTAGCATCTCTGAAACCCTGTGTTTAGTCAAAAGTACCAGAAGGAAAGAAAAGCTGGGGATGCAGCTTGGCTAGGAGGGTGCTTGCCTACTACCTGAGTAACAAAAGGTATCTAGACACTCATATGAGAGGCAGGAGTGAGGGTCTGAGAGAAGACCCCGGGTAGGTAGGCACAGAGCCTCCTTTCTTGTTCTTCAGGGCTGGCTGTGGGCTTGGGCCTGGGAGCACTGGCTGAGGTGACCAAGAAGTCGCTGCCAGGAGGAGGTCTGCAGCACAGTGAGTAAAACAACATCACCTGTTCATCCAGCTCCTGGCCTCGAGGGCTCGACTTGTGGTAGAGGGTCGCTCACTAGTGATGGGCTGGCTGGGCAGGGCGTGTGCGGCTCAGTAGTAAATTGTTTATCTAGCACACAGAAGTCACACACTGACTGGTTGCCATGACCCACTCCAGGTGACTCACAACTGCCTGTAACTCCAGCTCCAAGGAATCCAGCACCCTCTTCTGGCTGCTCCAGATTTCAGCACACACATGGCATACACACACACACACACACACACACACACACACACACACACACACACAAATAAAAAATTTTTTTTTTTCTTTAGAGACAGGATTTCTCTGTGTAGCCCTAGCTGTCCTGAAACTCATTCTGTAGCCCCAACTGCCCTTGAATTTACAGAGATCTTTCCCTGCTTCTGGCCTCCTGCTTACTAGAATTACAGCTTTTTTTTTTTTAATTATCATTTCTTGCCTGTAATATCAGCACTCAGGAAGCAGAGGCAAGAGGGTTTTATCAGTTTGAGGCTTTCTGAGCTACATTGTAGGCTCAGAAAACTGGAAATGACATGCACACCATTAATCCCAGCACTCAGGAGGTAGAGGCAGAGAACTCTCTGTGAGTTCGAGGCCAGCCTGATCTACAGGGCTGTTACACAGAGAAACAAAAAAACCCCAACCAACCAACCAAACAAACAGCAACAACAAAAAAGAAAAAAAAAAGGTTCTTTCTGCGCACATGATACTGATGCTTACTTCTCGCTACAGAGGGCGGCTCTGCATTGGGCTCCAGCCCATTCCTTTCCGAGGCCAACGCTGAGAGGATCGTGCAGACCTTATGTACAGTCCGGGGGGCTGCTCTCAAGATTGGCCAGATGCTCAGCATCCAGGGTACAGCATGACCCTCAACTCCTGACCTATGACCTCATTCCCACCCTACCCCACCCAGCATCGAGCCCTGATTTCAGGTGCTCACATGGATCCCCTCTCCATCTCCCTCACTATTCCCCTCATCCCACTGTCTCCTAAGACAATAGCTTCATCAGCCCCCAGCTGCAGCAGATCTTCGAGAGAGTCCGCCAGAGTGCCGACTTCATGCCCCGCTGGCAGATGCTGGTGAGTATCCAGTTTGGGTGACTGGTGACTTGGTACCCCATGTCAGTAGAATACATAAATCAACATAATCTACAAAGCACTTAGTTTATATTACATAAAGTTCTTAAACCTGTCCATGTTACTCCATGAGTGACGTGAAAGTTTGAGCTGTGATTAATTAGAGGAGATCATGCTAGGACATGATGCCACACACCTGTAATTCCAGCACTTGGAGATGGGAGCAGTAGGATCAGGAGTTCAAGGTCATCCTGGGCTACCTTAGACCCAGTCTCAAACAAACAAACAAAATTAAAGGAGATTTTATCCATAAATAGGATAGCATAACACCTGGTACAGAGCTGCTCTATAACTGTAGGAGAGCGTAGGCTCCAGCCACCTGCCTGCCTACTGTCTGTGCTCTGCTGCTTACCTGTGCTTTCTGAGCCACTCTAAACATGCCAGAACCAAAGGAAGCCCGTCTGCATCTTCATCATGCCACTTTAGGACTTCATGATATGGGAATCTAGTAAGGATGTTATCAGTCTTCATTAACAATCTCCTAGGGCAGTGGTGGTGCACACCTTTAATCCCAGCACTCAGGAGGCCGTGGCAGGCAGATCTCTGTGAGTTCAAGGGTAACCTGGTACAGAGCGAGTTCCAGGCCAGTCAGGACTTCACAGTGAGACCCTGCCTCAGAAAAATAAAAACGGCAATGTTGGTGTTCCTCCCATGGAACTCCTCTGAGTCTTAGGAGCTCCATCCTACTTTCCTCAATAAATCCACATTTGTTTCCTCCACTGAAACACAAAATAAATAACTGCACCTGGCTGCTCCATCGCCTGGGCAAGAGACTTCTCCCTGAGCCTTAGTTTTCACATCTGTAAAATGATGTATCAGCCAAGGGTGAGCCCCGGGGTTGCTAACACAGGTGCTCAGAACAGGGAATAAACTCAGCTGACTGAAACTATGATGGTAACTGTCATGCTCACTCCCTTCAGAAAGTTCTAGAAGAGGAGCTGGGCAAGGACTGGCAGGAAAAGGTGGCCTCCCTGGAGGAAGTGCCCTTTGCTGCTGCCTCCATTGGGCAAGTACACCAAGGCATGCTAAAGGATGGGACTGAGGTGGCTGTGAAGATCCAGGTGAGCAGGGAGGCTGGGCAGGAGTAGGGGTGGGCACTGTGCTGTCCCCATGTATGTGGGACTCCCGACCCCCTCCTTCCTCCTGACAGTACCCAGGTGTTGCCCAGAGCATCCAGAGTGACGTGAAGAACCTACTGGCCCTACTCAAAATGAGTGTGGGCCTGCCAGAGGGTGAGTAGCCCTGTCTGTCCCTACCAAGGGAGGGATGTAGCTAGAGTTTTCCTGCCTGGCCCACAGTCAGGACAAATCTCTGTCACCCGCCAGTCCCACAGCCATTCAGACCCGACCAAGTAAACATAGAGACTTATATTGGTTACAAATTGTATGGCCGTGGCAGGCTTCTTGCTAACTGTTCTTACAGCTTAAATTAATCCATTTCTATTAATCTATACCTTGCCACATGGCTCGTGGCTTACCGGTACTTTATATCTTCCTTGTCCTGATGGCGGCTCGCAGTGTCTCTTTTTTTCCAGCTTCCTGTTCTCTCAATTTTCCTGTTAGTCCCGCCTATACTTCCTGCCTGGCCACTGCCAATCAGTGATTTATTCATTGACCAATCAGCAACACATTTGACATACAGACCATCCCACAGCACCTCCCCTTTTCTTTTCTTAAAAAGGAAGGTTTTAACCTTTACATATCTCTAAAGTTAGTTTGGTATATTTAGGAATTTGGGCGTAGCTTTTTTTACTACTTTTTGTTGGAGGGGGGCGCTGTATCTTTTGGGGAAACAAAGAAAATTTTAGGATCATGGAATAGTCCGTGAGGCTGTATCATCTGAGCCAGTTGTCTTGAAACGGTTTTGGATGTTGGATCATCTGGGCCATGGTGTCATCGGAGACCTTTTAGGTGGTCTTGGCTGGTCAAACCTGATGTGTCTTAATCTGGAACAAATCCATAGTCTCTTGTTTTCTGTGGAAACAAAAGAGACTCTTTTCCAAAGCAACATATCTTTATATCTAAATTTTGAAGTCAAAGTATCTTTAAAATATACATACTGGTTTAACTCAGTTTCCTTTACAATCAAATATCTCTCTGTAGTTAAGAATCCCAAAGACAACATAATCCAGACTTTTTGTGTAATAGTCATCTCTATGTGGCTTATTTTTTATATTAATTTTACTGTCTTTTTAAAGACTTTATTTTTTTTAAAACCATGTATTTGTTTTTATATTGTATATATCATTTTTTTTGTTTTTTTTAAGCCTACGTATATTTTACATACATTTTAAACTATTATATCTGAATCTGTCTTATTATGAATCTGTTGTTTTAAGTTGTAGCAGCTGTGGCTGTTGGCTCCGCCCATCTTAGCTTTTTAACATGGCGGCAGTATGCTTACCGCCAGCTCTGGGAGCTATCATGGGTCTATGTTTTTATCTAAGCAGCGTGTAGCCCAGAAACCTCTTTTTTTGTTTTGTACTAGCAAAGGCTAAATCCATAATGTAGCTTAATGTGCCATTTGTAGAGACTTCATTTCCGCCATATTGTAGGTCGAGCGCGCACGCCAGCAACCCGCCAGTAGCTCAAACTGGCAGCTGCCGCTCATTTGAGAGAGACAATTAGGAACTGTTTTTAGCTCTGTTTTAGAATCTTTTTTTTTAGGTTTTAGGTGGAAACTCTTGCCCCACGTTGGGCGCCATTTGTAGCTAGAGTTTTCCTGCCTGGCCCACAGTCAGGACAAATCTCTGTCACCCGCCAGTCCCACAGCCATTCAGACCCGACCAAGTAAACATAGAGACTTATATTGGTTACAAACTGTATGGCCGTGGCAGGCTTCTTGCTAACTGTTCTTACAGCTTAAATTAATCCATTTCTATTAATCTATACCTTGCCACATGGCTCGTGGCTTACCGGTACTTTATATCTTCCTTGTCCTGATGGCGGCTCGCAGTGTCTCTTTTTTTCCAGCTTCCTGTTCTCTCAATTTTCCTGTTAGTCCCGCCTATACTTCCTGCCTGGCCACTGCCAATCAGTGATTTATTCATTGACCAATCAGCAACACATTTGACATACAGACCATCCCACAGCAGAGGGATGCCTAAAGAGAGGAAGTGGGGCTAGCCTGGGACAGCATCAAGAATGTATACACATCACAGGGGTGACAAAAGGATGCCAAGCAGAGAAAGTTCAGTGAGAATGAGTGAATGTGGCATAGCTACAAAGAAACAAGCCCAGATCAAATGCACAGACAGACAGACAGACTGGTGTGCAGTGTGCAGGGAACCACAGAAGCAGAAGAGAGAAGCTAGTGGGCAGCACCTTTGTGTTGCGTCCCATGAGCGATCACCTGTAGAAGACAGAGCACGGTATGCTTGTGGGGAAGAGAGAAAGTGGAGATGCAGACAGGCCTAGAAGTGAGATGAGAGGAAGAGGGCAATATGAGTTTAGCATAAACAAGAGGCCGAAGATGGCTAGGGATGGAGCTCAGGAGAGTGCTAGTCCAGCATGCACAAAGCCCAGGGTTGAGCTCTGTACCGAATAGGGTGTGGTAGGGCAGGCATACAGGACCCCCACACTCAAGAGGGAAAGGTGGGAAGATCGGAAGTTCAAGGTCATCCTTGGCTAAACAGTGGGTGAAAAGAGCTGCAGTTCCCATGACAGCGCCAAACCCTGGAGACAGACTTGCACAGAGCCCACAGTTGTGGGAAAGACAGAGGGAAGGTGAATCCAAGATGAGGTGGGTAAACTGGGTCTGGTGGCTCACATTTGTAATCTTAGCACAGGGAATCTGAGGCAGGAGGTTTGCTGAAAGTTGGGTCAACCCTGGACTACATAGAGAGACCCTATCACAAATGCAAAGCCAAGCATGGTAGCATGTCTGTAATCCTAGCATTTGGGAGGTGGAAACAGGAGGATCAGGAGTTCAGAGTCAGCTTTGTCTGTATAGTGAGTTGAAGGCCAGCCTGGGCTACATGAGAGGCTGTCTTTAAAAAAAAAAAAAAAAGAGGAATGAAAAAAAGGGGGTAAAAGTCAAGAACAGAGTGCATGGGACAGTGAGAGCCATAGAAAGAGAAATGTATAAGGAAACAGAGAGGACAGGCACATGGGAGCCTGGAGGTTCTGGCAGGGGACAGGCGGCCATCCTCAGCTACCATCCCTCCACCCCACCCCAGGGCTGTTTGCTGAGCAGAGCCTGCAGACCTTGCAGCAAGAGCTGGCTTGGGAGTGTGACTACCGAAGAGAAGCTGCTTGTGCCCAGACCTTCAGGTAAGCTGACATCCCCAGGCAGCTCTGGGGGTCGGGGGGCAACAGGCCAGGGGGTGGGGGGATGTGGACGATGGGACTCCTTCCCGGCGGCAGTCTCCCTTCCCTCCCATCTGGACTGGGCTGGGTGGATGGACTCTCTAGCCTCTGGCAGTCTTCATCTTCACACGGCACAGCAGACTCCTCTTTCTCTCTTTGGTTCTTTTATCTATCCATCCATTCCTTATTCTTGCATGTTCTCTGGGGGCTGCACCGGTCACTTCTCACAGAGTGTCATATCTGCTGTGGTCCCACAAAGGGGTTCAATTGCACCATGAGGTGCCGATAGGCCTGCTAGCCTGAGGAAGGGTAAGCATTCTGCAGCATCAGGGCCAGAGGACACCAGCTCCTTCTCCACAATAGGCAGAAAAAAACAGTGTCAACATCTGGGAGGCCAGGGTCCGTCTCACTATATAGTTCCTGCTGGCCTGGACCTTGAGCTTATTGAGATCCACCTTTGTCTCCTAAGTACTGAGATTAAAGGCATGCACCACCATGCCAGCTCAACCTTATTCATTTTAAATTTTATTTTGAACCAGGCATACTAAGGTACACCGTTAATCTTACCACTTGGCAGTCAGAGGCAGGTGGATTTCTGTAAGTTCAAGACCAGCCTCATCTACATAGAGAGTTCCAGGCCAGCCAGGGCTACATAATGAGACTCTGTTTCAAAACACCAACAAAAACTCCAAGAGATTTTTTAGTTTGTTTTGTGTATGGATTTTTTTCTTTTCTTCTCTTTTCTTTTCTTTGTGTGTGCATATGTGTCTGTGTACCACATGGATGCAGTGCCCACAGAGACTAGAAGAGGGTTTGAGTCCCCCTGGAACTGGAATTATAGACAGCTGTGAGTCGCTAGGTGGATGCTGGGAACCAAATCTGGGTCTTCTGGAAGAGCAGCCAGTGCTTCTAACAGGAGCCATCTATCCAGCCCTTCTGCCTTCTTTTTTGAGATTGAATCTCTTGCTGAAACTAGAACTCCCTGATTGGACTGACTGGCTTGCCAGTGGACCCAGGGATCCTCCTGTGTCTGTCTCCTTGGTGTTGGGATTACAGGTGCATAGTGCCTTTTTTTTTTTTTTTTTTTTTTTTTTTTTGTGACTGTTTACAGGGTTCTGGGGTCAAACTCAAGTCCTCCTGCTGTGTGGCAAGCTGCTTACCCACTGAGCCATGTCCTCAGGTCCTGAAAGAGCCCTATGTCCACATACCCAGCAACCTTACCATCAGCCTTCTTGATAAATTCTATATGGACATTTATATTGTTGTATACCATCAGAATTTTCTAGAATGCTTAAAGCACCAATGTGTACACATCCCAACCTAGGAACCCAAATCTATCAGATCTGTCCAGCAAGGTGTACTAACAAGTTATGGTGGTTTTATTTTTGTTTTTGAGATAGGGTCTCACTATGTAGCCCTGGCTGGCCTTGAACTTGCTCCAGTCATTCTGACTCTGCCTCCCAAGTGCTGGGTTTACAGGCATGCCCCATACCTGGCTTTTATGGTGTTTTCAATTACCAGTTGAATCTTTTAAAAAAATTTTATTTATTTATTTTAATTATTTTAAATGTGAGACTTTGGATTCCGCTGGAGCTAGCATTATAGGCAGTTGTGAACACCCTAAGGTGAGCACTGGGAACAGAACTGGAGTCCTCTGGAAGAACAGCAAACATGCTCCCAACTGCTGAGCCATCTCTCTAGCCAACTCCCCTTCTCCCCGCCCCCCTTGTTTTTTGAGACAGGATCTCAATATGTAGCCTGAGCTGTTCTCAAACTCACGGTGTGGCTGTGCTGGCTTTGTACTCCTGACCCTGCCGCCTCCGCCTCTTCGCTGCGTGTGCCGCCACATCCGGGTCTCAATGGCAGACCGTATGAAGAGGAAAATGAACAGACTATAGCTATACAGACAGTGTGGCTGTATCTTGGAATTATGGTCATGTGTAACAATTACGGACAACTCAAGTCTGAGGGTGTAGCTAGTGGGTGTTTGCATAGCATACATCGTGCTCTGGGTTCGATCCCCAGCATCACATAATCCAGGTATGGTGGCTCATGCCTATAATCCTAACACTCAGGGGATGGAAACTGCAAGATTAGAAGTTCAAGGTCATCCTCTGCAACACAGCTGAGTCAGAGGCAGCCTGGGCTATATGAGACAACATCTCAAAAAGCAAAACAACAAAAAAACAAAAAACAAGAGACACCTTGAGAGGAACCCCTACAGTATGGCTCACAAGTCTGCTATGACTCTCAGCATGACTCCACGCTCAGGAGACAGGGTGAGCAGATAACAGTCATTCAAAACACGTGCCCTGGACCCTGATGAATTTGGGATTCAGTCTCGGGTCAGCCCTTACCAGGCTGTAAGGCTTATCAGGTGGCCTGATTCTGTACAGTGGCCTCAGGAGAGCGTTCTCATAGGGGAGGTGTGCTGATTAAATGTTTAGGACAGCCCTGGCTCTTGAGAAGTAGAGCCGGTATCAGAGACCACATAAACTAGGACTAAACACCAGCCCAAAGCAGGACACTGCAGAGCAGAGTGACACGGGATGACAGGCCAGAGCAACCCCATGTAGGATCTGAGGACATTTTCCCAGGATCCCCCAAACCCTTCCTCATACCTCTGGTGCCTGCCCATCTGCCTGTTCCCAACGTCCCCACAGGTCCTCACTCACCCCTGGTCTACCTGGACACATGTCCCTCAGTTTATCACTCATCCCTCTGTTGGCCTGAGGCTGGCTCTGTCACCCATCCACCCACACCAGCATGTCCAGTACCAAAGAAGGACTTTTGTCTTTATCGGGGAGGTAATGTCTGTACAGGTGTGTTCATGTATGTTCAAGGCATGTGGATGCCAGAGAACAGCCCTAGTTAGGTCCCATCTGTTTTTTGAGACAGCACTTCTCTCTGGCCTGGCTGCCCACTGAGCCCCAGGAACCACCTGTTGCTGCTTCCCCACGTCTGGGATTACAGTTGTGTGCACCACACTCAACCCATGGGTTCTGGTGATAAACTTGGGTCCGCATGCTTATGTGGTATTTTATTCACAGAGCTATCTCCTTGGCCCTTTTTTGTTTGTTTTGGGGCTAGAATGCCGTGTAGCCCAGACTAGACTCATAGTCCCTATCTGGCTGAGGATACCCTTGAACTCAACTTCTCCATGCTAGGATTATAAGCATGTACTCCACACCAGGGTCTCAATGGTAGACTGTTATATGACAGGGAACACTCCCACAGTAATGTTGCGACTGTCACCCTGCTGAAATAGGTACTCTTGGGAGGGAAGTGTATGTATATCACGCATATCCTTCTTGCCTCCAACTCTCAGTTGCTGAGATTACCGGCATCCACCACCACATCTAGGTCAGAAAAGAATTCTTCAATTTATTTACCACTGTTCAGAGTATAGGACCCTCCTGCATCTACAGGGGACAAATTCCTAGACACCCTTAGTTAGTTCCAAACCCTGCGTAGACTGTTTTTTGGTCCCTGTACGTATATATGTAGAAGTCAGGCTTATAAATTAGGGACAGTGTTTTCTGCTGCAACATGTTGATGTTTCTAGGAAGATTTCTATTCCAGGCTTTTGCCCACAAATTGAATACCTTTCACCTTTGTTCAGGCTGTCATCCTCCTGCCTCAGCCTTCTGAAAGCTGGGGTTAGAGGCTTATGCTACTTTTCACGGTGCCTTACTCACCTTAAGCAAGCATTTGTCATACACTGTGGGTGTAACTTTTGCAGCTTGTAGTAAAACTAGCACAGAGTTCTCTTCCTCACAGTTTCACAGATAGATTTGTTCTCACTAAGAATCTTAATGGACTATGTTTTTTTCTTCATTGAACCTGAGCATTTTGTCTCTTCACTTAAAGAAAGTACTCTATGGGCTGGTGAGATGGCTCCTCGGGTTAAAAGACCTTGCCACCAAGCCTGATCACCTGAGCTTGATCCCTGGGATCCACATCGTGGAAAGAGAGAACTGATACCCACAAAGTAGTCCCCTGTCATCCACACATGCTCCATGGCATGTGTGTGTCAGTCAGACAGAAACACAGACACACACACACACACACACACACACACACACACACACACACACACACATATCCCCTCATGCACACACACAGACACGCACTAAATAAATATAAAAAAAAATAAAAAATAAAAAAAAAATGAAGCCGGGCGGTGGTGGCGCACGCCTTTAATCCCAGCACTCGGGAGGCAGAGCCAGGCGGATCTCTGTGAGTTTGAGGCCAGCCTGGGCTACCAAGTGAGTTCCAGGAGAGGCGCAAAGCTACACAGAGAAACCCTGTCTCGAAAAACCAAAAAAAAAAAAAAAAAAAAAAAGAGAAAAAATTAACCCATCATCACCCTCCTGTAAGTAGCCCTAATGAAGCTCATTAAAAAAAAAAAGTGGTTAAGAGCGCTGACTGCTCTTCCAGAGGACCCGGGTTCAATTCCCAGCACCCATATGGTGGCTTACAACTGTCTGTAAGTCCAAGATCTGACACCCTCACACAGACATACAAGCAGGCAAGGCAACAATGCACATAAAATAATAAATTTTAAAAAACGCCATGGAAGTAGAAGGACAAGTTGTAAAGGGGGAACAAACAGGGATAGGAGGGACAAGAGAGGATGACAGTGAGGTAACTGAAATACATCGTGTGTGTGTGTGTGTGTGTGTGTGTGTGTGTGTGTGTGTGAAAGTGCCATAGTGAAACCCATTGTTTATGATTAATATATACTAATTAAAAAGGCAAAAATCATTTTAGAAAAAGGAAAAAGCTGGGCGGTAGTGGAGCACACCTTTAATCCCAGCACTCGGGAGGCAGAGCCAGGCGGATGTCTGTGAGTTTGAGGCCAGCCTGGTCTACAGAGTGAGTTCCAGGAAAGGCACCAAAACTACATAGAGAAGCCCTGTCTCAAAAAACCACACTCACGCACACACAACACACACACACACACACACACACACACACACACACACACACACACAAAAACCCAGAGGAAAAAGCATTTTATGCTTTTGACATATCTGAGATGCCAGCATTACTCTCTTGCTTTGGAACCATTATTAAATAAAATAAAGGTGATCTGAATACTGCCATTGAAATATTCAACAGTCAACCTGCTAAAATGGCTAAGCACTCTCAGAAGGGAAGTGTATTATGTATACCGTGCTTATACTGGGCAAGTAGGTGATTCCTGTTCCAAACAGGGTGGGGTTAGATTTTTATCATACTGCTCAGAATGGTATGCAATTTTAAATTTGTAAATTTAAAGCTGGACTTTTCCTTCCTTCCTTCCTTCCTCCCTTCCTTCCTTTCTTTTCCCCCTGAGACGGGGTTTCTTTGTGTGGCCTTGACTGTGATCTTGCTCTGTATACCAGGCTGGTCTCAAACTCACAGAGATCTGCCTGCCTCTGCCTCCCAAGTGATGGGGCTAAAGGTGTGGGTCACCACTCAGCAGGAATTTTCTTTTTTTAATTTATATTTATTTTTACTTTATGGGTACAGATGTTTTGCTTGTGTGTATGTCTGTGCACCATGTACATGCAGTGCACTCAAAAGCCAGAAGAGGGCATCAGATCCCCGGGAACTGACATTATAGACAGTTGTGAAGCATGTGGGTGCTGGGAGTTGAACTCAGGCTCTCTGGAAGACCAGCTAGTGCTCTTAACTGTTGAGCTGTCTCTCCAGCTCGCTTCTTTTTTCTCTCTCTTGCTTACCTGCTTTTTGAAACAGCATCTTATCATGTGCCCTGGCTGACCTGGAATGTGCTGTGTCACAGAGGCTGACCTTGAAGTCCTGACCTCCTGCCTCCGCTCCCCAGTGCTAGGTTTACAGACATGCACTACCACATCCAGCTTAGACCAAGGTTTACCACAAGTAACTGAAACTCTTTAGTGACTCCAAGGAGTAACTGGTGACTATCAGTGTAGAGCCATAGACTTAAAAACTTAAAAAAAAAAGTAATTTGTAATATTTATCATTGAGTGTTGTGTGTACATGTGCATACACACCAGTGTGTGCATGCTACAGCATGCATGTGGGGATCAGAGGACAACTTTAGGAATATGTGGGCCCTGGAATCAAACTCAGGTCATATGCCACAAGTGCCTTTATTCTCTAAGCCATCTCACTGGCTACACACTAGTTATTTTGTTGTTGTTGTTCTTCTTGTTCTTGTTTTTGTTTTTCAAGACAGGGTTTCTCTGTGTAGCTTTGGAGCCTGTCCTGGAACTCACTCTGTAGCCCAGGCTGACCTCGAACTCACAGAGATCCACCTGCCTCTGCCTCCCGAGTGCTGGGATTAAGGGTGTGTGCCACCACTGCCCAGCTAAACTGGTTATTTTTAAGTGATGCATGAGCTAAATTTTCTGAGCTCACCATCCAGTCACCAGAAGTCAGAGAAGGATTGGTAGGAGGGAAGTGGTAACTGGGTCTCCAGCAACATGCCGTAAAAGACAAGGCAATATACAACAATGTCTGTTAAATGTCAGTCACCCAAGGCAGCCAAGCCAGAGAAGTGGGATGGAAAGGAAAGCCTAGAGCAGCGAGGCCTGAAGGGCCTCTCAGTAAAACAGCCAGTTCAAACCCAGCCTCTGCTCTCCAAAGCATGAAGTTTCTCTCATCCTCGCCTTCTTCCTGCCCCAGGAAGCTCTTGGCAGATGACCCCTTCTTCCGGGTGCCAGCTGTGGTACAGGAGCTGTGCACTACACGTGTGCTGGGCATGGAGCTGGCTGGGGGAATCCCTCTAGACCAGTGCCAGGGCCTGAGTCAGGACATCCGGAATCAGGTACGTCTCCTTTTGGGATGGAAATGGAGAAGGGCCAGGCACAAACTTTCTCCCTTGGCCGGGAGGACCAGACAAAACACCCCACTGAGATTTCTTCCTCTTTCAGATTTGCTTTCAGCTCCTGAGGCTGTGTCTGAGGGAACTGTTTGAGTTCAGATTCATGCAGACAGATCCCAACTGGGCCAACTTCCTATACGATGCCTCCAGCCACCAGGTTGGTTCCTTAGGATGTGAATCAGGGTACATCAGCTAGCTGCTGTAAAGAGCATTTCCCCAGAAAGATGGTTCAGTGGGTAAAGATGCTTCTTACCAAACCTGATGGCCCTTAAGTCAATCCCCAGAACCCATGTGGTGGAAGGAGAGGACTAACCTAGTAAGCTGTCTTCTGACGCCCACACATGAGCCATACATAATATAATACATAAATACAAAAAAAAAAAAAAAAAGATGGGGCTGGAGGGATGGCTCAGTGGTTAAGAGCACTGGCTGCTTTTCCAGAAGAGCATGAGTTGATCCCCAGCACCCACGTGGTGGCTCACAACCACCTGTAACTCCAGTTCCAGGGGACCCAATGCCCTCTTCTACCTCTGTGACACCAGGCTTGCAAATGGTGCCCAGAAATACATGTAGGCAGAACACCCATACACATACAATAAATCTTTTAAAAATATAAATAATTCATAATCCTTCTGCTGTGTTTGGAATTGCAGACATGTGTCCCCAGGCCTGGCTTCTCTGTATATATAAAGCTTTAAATTATAGAACTATTATTAGGCATGATCTGTACCTACATATGAATGTAGAAGGTGTGCATGGAGATTTCAGGAAAATTTTAATTTTTAAAATTATTATCTTAGAATTTCTGTGTATGAGTGTTTTGCCTGCATGTATACTATGTGCCATGTGTGTGCAGTGCCTGAGGAAGACAGAAGAGGGCGTTGGATCCCCTGGAACTGGAGTTAGAGACAGCTAATGTGGGTGCTGGGAATGGAACCCGAGTCCTCTGAAAGACCAGCAAGTGTTCTTAACTACTGAGCCATCTCTCCAGTACTCAGGAAATTATTTAATGATATTAGTTTCAGGAAAGTGATAACCCTGGAGGAGGTCCTGGGAGTATATAGGTGAGGGAGGAATAAACCTGTGTGAGTGGTGTTCATGTTTAAGCTGAGGAGTAGGACTTGTAGATATTCACTTACTTTTTCAGATGTCTTATTCTCTTAATTATTTTATGGGCCCCAAGATTTGCATTTGAGGCAAATAAGCTGGGTATGATGGCTCACATCTGTAATCATAGCACTCAGGAGGCAGAGGCAGCCTTGACTACATAGTGAGAATGAACCTGTTTCAAAAAACAACAAAAAGAAGGCTAGCACTAAGCTCAGTCTTAGAGCACCTGCCTAGAATGCACCAGTGGGGAGCGGCTGGGGGAGAGCACCTGCCTAGAATGCACCAGTGGGGAGCGGCTGGGGGAGAGCACCTGCCTAGAATGCACCAGTGGGGAGCAGCTGGGGGAGAGCACCTGCCTAGAATGCACCAGTGGGGAGCGGCTGGGGGAGAGCACCTGCCTAGAATGCGCCAGTGGGGAGCGGCTGGGGGAGAGCACCTGCCTAGAATGCACCAGTGGGGAGCGGCTGGGGTAGAGCACCTGCCTAGAATGCACCAGTGGGAGGCTAGGGCTGTGACTCAACCACAAAGGCCTGGTCTCATATCCACAAACAAGAGCCTGGGTGTATGGCCTGGTGATACAGTGTTTGCCCTTAATCACCAGTGAGGGTCTGGAGGTGTGGCTAAATAGTGGGAGTGAGGCTGCAGGGGAGAAGAACATGGCTATTTCAGTTGAAAGTGAGGATATCAGCCTTTCCCCATATTCCTGTCACTCATTGTTCCCAGGTGACATTACTGGACTTTGGTGCAAGCCGGGCATTTGGAACAGAATTCACAGACCATTACATTGAGGTGAGTACCCCCATCCCTGGGGCTTATGAAGGGTCAAAGCTCAAGCTAGATAGTGAGGACAGGGTAAGAGGGAAATGTGAACTGGAACTAAGAAATATGGCCTTCAAGGTGGTTCACACTAGAGTGCCTGCTGCCCTGACTGTGATTCCTGTTACCACATGGAGGGGGGAGGGGACTGACTCCTTCACATCCTCTCACCTCAACACTTGTGTGTGGTACATCCATATGCCACAACCTCGATTCTCTCTCTCTCTCTCTCTCTCTCTCTCTCTCTCTCTCTCTCTCTCTCTCTCCCAACTTTAAAAGAAATAACAAATAAGCCAGGCCTGGTAGCTACTGAGGAGGCCAAGGAAAGATGATCGATTGCAAGTTCAGAGGCTGCCTATGCTACAGGTGAGTTTAAGGCCAGCCAGCCTGAGCAACTTAGTGAGACCCTGTCTCAAAATAAAAGTAAAAAGAGGGCTAGGACTGTAGCTTCATAGTAGGGCACTTATATTGGCTCCACCAGTGAGGGGCATGATGGAGGCAGAGCACCCACCTAGAATCTACCAGAGGCTCTGAGTGTTGTTCAGCGGTGGGGTGCTTGCTTAGTATCCACAGTTTCCTCAATTTAACCCTCAGTACCTCAAAAAGAAGAAATAATAGAGGCCAGATGTGGCACACGCCTTTAATCCCAGCATTCAGGAGGCAGAAGCAAGTAGATCCCTGTGAGTTCCAGACCAGCCAGAACTACATAGTGAGCCTCTATTATAGTAATATTAATAATAGCTAATAACCACCAACCACTTAGTATTATTACAAGTAGTATATAATTGAAAGCGGCCAGGGCCACTCGGAGTCCCATTTTACAGGTGAAGAACTGAGGCTTAGAAAGCAATTCCCCAAAACCCCAGCATGCCTGTGGGTTGCAGACTGTCTGGGTTCAGAGCCATGTCCCAGCCCTTGCTCAGCCCCCTTCTGAGAGAAGGACCAGAGATTGCCACCCTGTCCAGGATCTTGACATCCAGCCTGCACCTCACAGGAAGTTGTAGCTCCTCAGGGAATACTTCCTCACCTACTTGGTTCTTCCATTTCTTCCTTCTAAGTCAGTCAGTCTCAGAGGCTGCAGAGACTTGTGTCTACATGCACCTGGTGTTTTCCATTCTCCTAGTTGTCACTTCTGACATTCTCTGACATCCCCTTGGTGCCCAGCCCTACTCCCCTGGCCCCAATCTCCCCATCACAGAGTTCACCATCTATAGTGCAACAGTTAAGGACGTAGAGGGTTAGGGCTCGGCTGAGAAATGGAGGGCATTGTGAGAATCTAGAGGAACCTGTCCCAGATTGAGGATCCAAGAAAGGCTTCCTGGAGGAGGAGATTTTGAACTGAGAGCTAAGGGATGCAAAGGACAATTAGTAAGAAGCTAGAAGGACATTCAGATAAATGTGCAAAGGTCAAGAGTCATCTTTGTCACTGTTCTGTTGCTGTGAAGATACCATGACCAAAGCAACTCTTTTTTTGTTTGTTTGTCTTGTTTTTTGGTTTTGTTTTGTTTTGTTTTTCGAGACAGGGTTTCTCTGTGTAGTTTTGGTGGCTGTCCTGGATCTCGCTCTGTAGACCAAGCTGTCCTCGAACTCACAGAGATCCGCCTGCCTCTGCCTTCCGAGTGCTGGGATTAAAGGCATGCGCCACCACTGCCCAGTAAGGCAACTCTTATAAAGGAAAGCATTTAATTGGGGACTTTGCTACAGTTTCAGGGGCTTAGTCTGTTATGATCACAGCAAGGAGCATGGTAGCAGGCAGGTATGATGCAAGCTAAGAGCTACATCCTGATACACAGGCAGAGAGAGGGGAGAGAAACAGAGACAGAGAGACTGGGCCTGGCATGAACTTTGGACATCTCAAAGCCCACACCCCACCCACCCCTGTGACATACTTCCTCCATACCTCTTTTTTTTTTTTTTTTTTTTTTTTTGTGGGAGGGGAATATTTCAAGACATGGTTTCTTTGTGTAGCCCTGCCGTCCTAAAACTCACTCTGTAGACCAGGCTGGCCTCAAACTCACAGAGATCTGCCTGCCTCTGCTTCCCGAGTGCCGAGAGTAAAGGCGTGCGCCACCACCACCTGGCTAAGGCTATGCATCTTAATCTTTTTAATCCTTTCAAAGAGTTCTACTCCCTGGTGACTAAACATTCAAATATATGAGCCTATGGGGCCATTCTTATTCAAATGACCAAAGGAGGGAATTTAGGAAAATCCTTTCTGCATGCTGGCGCTTCTGAACAGAAATGGTCATTTAGGGGCTGGAGAGATGGCTCAGCAGTTAAGAGTATTTGCTGGCCTTACAGAGGACCCAGAGTCCTAGTCACTGTAATATTGTTGTGAAGAAACACCATTACCAAGGCAACTTATAAAAGAAAGCATTTGATTGGGGGCTTGCTTGCAGTTTCAGAGGGTGAGTCCATGACCATCAAGGCATGATGTGGCAGCAGGCTGGCATGGCACTGGACCAGCAGCTGAGAGTTTACATTTGGTCCACAAGCAGGAAGCAGACAGAGGGTTAACTATGCCTGGTGTGGGCTTTTGAAACCTAAAAACCAACCCACACCTCTTGCAACAAATTCATACCTCCTAGTCTTTCCTAAATAGTTTCACCAACTGGGGACCAAGTATTCAGTATTCAAACCTATGAGCCTTTGGGGGCCATTCAAACCACCATGCCCCAGCTCAGCACCCATAAGGGCTCATAACCATCTGCAAGCAGAGGATGCAAAGCCATTCTCTGGCCTTCATACAGAGATCAAAGGGAAACTCATGTTCTGATTGGACAGACAGGTGTTGGGTAGAGCCAAGACATTCTGGGTGCTAGGCCCCTTTTCAGTAGGTACTCTGTCTCCTGTGAGGTGCTTCAGAAAGTGTTTGAGGAGGGGAGGAGCAATGGAGTTGAAAACTCGCTCCCATGGGGGCTGTGAGAAGTTGTGGAGGAGCCAGTTGGGAAGAAACGTAGTGAACATAGGGCCATGGGCACTAACAGTCTTGAAGACAGGAGAAAGGTGATGGGGACAAGGCCAAGGACTGACTCTAGCCTGAGAACTTTTAGGCCACCTCTAACTGCTGACAAGGAAGAACTGATGACCCACCCCCCCACCCCCCCACACAGGCCATTTTAGCCATTTTAGCCATAAAGCCAAGGCCTCCCCGAGCACTTGAACCATCCATTTTTCATGGACACCCACTTCCAAAAACCACCTTAACCTTTTCAAATAAAACAAACAACAACAAAAACCAAAACTGTTGGTTGGATGTTGTGGCCGATAATCAGAATACTTGGGACAGGACAGGGCAGGAGAATCATGAGTTCAAGGCCAGCCTGGGTTTCATAGTGAAACCCTGTTTGTTTATTTTTAGGTGCATTGTGTGTGTGTATATATATACACACATATGCATATTATATGTATGTGTATATATATATATATATATATATATATACACACACACACACATATACATACATGCATACATACATACACACACACACACACACCACACACGTGCCCGCATGCACCATGGGACACATGAGGAGGTCAGAGGAACATCTGCTGGAATCAGTTCTCTTTGCACCATGTGGGATCTGTGGGGCCCGAGGATCAAATTCAGGTCATCAGGCTTATCAGCGCCTTTAGCAGCTGAGCTATCTTTTAAAAAAGAAAAAGAAAATTTATATGGAACTCTAACAGATGGCCAGACAGCCACAGGCAGGGGGAGCTACAACAGCATTATTCCCTCCCAAAGAAAAGAGCAAGGCAGTGGGTCGGGGCTGGACAGGCTCCTCTCCCTGCTCTGAGCCGGCCTCTTCTGCACAGGGGCCCAGGGACAGCCAGTGACAGCTAGAGTAGCCTGCAGTGCGGGCACAGTGCTGAGCCCCACACAGTGATCCCAGGAGGAACCAGAGTTCCTTACTCCCATTTAATAGATGAGAAAGTAGAGGCCCCCCTACAGGTCCTAGCATCCTCTGAACCCCAGCAACTGGTACAGGTACTTTGGAGTCTCCCTCTACAGGACTGGACGGGAATTTAGCTCCACAGCAAGGGTAATTAGGGACACCCTGAGTGCTGTGTCTCATGCCCAGTGTAACTAGACCTATCTAGAATCCCTACACCCAGGGGGCTCAAAATCCAGTGGGAGCGAAGGCCCTCTGGCAACCTGGGACACCGTTCAGCTGTTCCATTCCTGACTGGTGTCTGGACCCATCAACAGCCGATGGGACACTGTGCCACTCCTGGTGGGGCCTGCAGACAGTTTTGCACTCAGTGGGTGGCAGTGCCCCTGGCCATTGCACCTGCAGGCTCTCACCATTCTTGAGGGAGATACAGCAGGGACAGAGTAGGGAGGGGGAAGCTTCTAGAAAGAGTCAGTCAGTGGAAATGGAGGTGGATCCAGGTTGGGCAAGATATCCCCTCCCTATTCTCTCCCTCCCTTCCTCCTTTCCTTTTTAACAGTGTTAGGTGGTAGTCCAGGCTGGCTTCGAACTCATAACCCTGACCAGCCTCCTGAGTACTGGGATTGTAGGTATGCACTGCTATCAGCCTCTGGCTGGTATTCCTATTGTCTAGACCCTCCCTTGTAGTCTGGTGTGATGGTGCAGACTCATAATCCTTCAACTCCTGCAGCTGGAGGCAGGAAGATCAGGAGTTCACAGTCATCCTCAACTGCATAGTGAGTTCAAGACCGTATAGGCTATGTCAGACTCTGCCTCAAAACAAACAACCCCAAAGCCTGCCTTGACCCGCACTGCTCTGTCCTCTGACACCCCAGGTGGTGAAGGCTGCTGCTGATGGAGACAGAGATCGAGTCCTGAAGAAATCCCAGGATCTCAAATTCCTCACAGGCTTTGAAACCAAGGTTGGTTGCCACTGAGCAAAAGGGGCTGGTGTGTTTGTTGCTGTTTTCTTTAGGGGGCTAGTGTCTTTTGGGAGTGGAGGATGCAGGAGAAGGATGAGGGGGAGCACAGACTATGTTTCTATCCCAGGGGAGTGGGGTAACTGAATGGACTAGTCTATACCGAGGAGCCCCAGGGTGGACCGAAAGGTGTGGCTACTGGGGGGGGGGCACTATTTCTATTCTGGGGATCCTAGGTTTGAGGAGTAGAGAGGCTACTTGTCTGTAGAAAGCCAGGGCTCTTTAAGAGTAACTGGGGGTGTTGTGGATAGTCAGTGACTACTTATTACTCTTAGGGGATACTGGGCTAGCAATACAAGTCCTCCACCGAGCCCCGCCCCAGCCCAGCCCCTCACTGGTGGATTCTAGGCAAGCTCTACCAGTGAGTCACGCCCCAGCCCTTGCAGTTTGCCTCTTCTGAAGTAATCAGAGGACATTATGTCCGTCTGGATGCATCTGCCATCCCCACCCTAGGCATTCTCCGACGCCCACGTGGAGGCAGTGATGATTCTGGGGGAGCCCTTTGCTGCCTCGAGTCCCTACGACTTCGGAGCTGGAGAGACGGCTCGCCGAATACAGGGCCTCATCCCGGTGTTGCTTCGGCACCGGCTGCGCCCACCACCTGAGGAGACCTACGCCCTACACCGCAAGCTGGCTGGGGCTTTCTTAGCCTGTGCTCGTCTCCACGCCCACATCGCCTGCCGGGACCTCTTCCAAGACACCTACCACCATTACTGGGCCAGTCGCCAGGCACTGCCACTGCCAGCAGCCTCCTGACTAGAAGGACCTCCCTGCCGACCCCCATGACAGACTCCATCCAGGGATACCAGCTCCACAGCGGGTGGTCCTCTGTTATGGCTCTTCTTGCCCCCTCCCCCTCTGTCCTGGCTCCAGAGCCAAGTTCCTTGCCTTGGATCTTCGGGCCCCTGGAGTTAGCTCCCTGATCCAAAGTGGGCATCCTGGAATTCTAAAGCTGGGAGTCAGCAGATTCCTGCCTTCATCTAAGTGAGCCCTTGGTCCCTTCATGGGGGTTCACTCTCGTCTGGAGGGGGCGCCCCTCGGCCGCGGGTCTTCCAGGATCGGCAGGAGAAAGGGGAGATGGTGGCTGTTGGAGGCGGTCCTCACCTTTGCCTCCCTCGCTCTACCAGCTGCCTTCTTCCGGGGTTCCAGCCTGTGTATTGGAGGATGGGGGTGGGTGCCGATCCTTCTCTCCGAATAAAGGCACCCTTTCCCTTCCCCCCAGTTCTTTTCTCTCTGCACTAAGGGGGAGGAGCTCACAAGCGGCTCCAGGTGCAGATGGCCAGACCCCCCCCCCCCTTGTCTAGGGCCATCTGTTGCGGGGATCCTCCTCTACCCCCCCTCCACGTGCTGACCACCTGCTCCAAGGGCTGTGGCAGCTGAGAAGTACCCTCCTATCACACAAACTCGCCCCCCACCCCCAGCTTCAGGCTCCCTCCTGACAACCTCGCCTTTGCTAATGGGCCCTAATGCCCCTACCAGCTGCTTTGCCAAACCCACAAGACCAGAGTGGGGGTGCAGCAGAGTCCAGAACTAGGACCTGGTCCTAGCCCAATGCCTTCTCTCCGCAAGCCAGAGTGATCTCCCTCCAGGATGCCGGGGTCTGTTCCTTCCCCCTCCCCTTGCCTCGCCTGCAAAAAGTGCCTCGTCACCGCTTCTGCCCGCCCCCGCCGGGCTGGGAGAACCGTGGAGTTAAGATTTGAGGACGTCAGGGCGCCTCCTAAAGCAATTCTTCAGAAGCAGAACCATAGGGGATCTGAGGTCAGGGGTTACGGAAGGAAATAGAACCTATGCCTGAACCAGAGAGGCAGTCCACCAGGGATGAGAGCGGGTTCCCGCAAGGCCAGGCCAAGGGGCGGGGCGGGGCGGGGCGGACCTCTGCATGGGAGGAGACCGGGTAGTGTTTGTGTGGGGGCGTGGTCCGCGGGAGGGCGGGGTCTCTTTTGCATATACAGCAGGCGGCGGGCCAATGGGCGGGGCAGGGGCGGGGCGCTGAGAGAGGGATGCTCCCCCGCCCCCGGAACGGAATCCTCCGGGGAGCCGAGCTGGCTCGCGCGCTTGCATCCCGCACCAGCCGCCGGCCCCGGGCCCGGCCCGCGTCAGACCGAGCCGCCGCCGCCACAGCAGCAGCAGCACTCGGGAAGCCGGGCCCAGCCGGGGCCGCGGGAGGCGGGGGCGCCCGGGCCCTGGATGTCCCGCAGCGCGGCGGCCAGCGTGAGAAGGGCGGGCGAGGGGGGCTCGGGCCGGGGGCGGCGCCGCTGCTGATGTGGCGGAGGGTGGGAGGCGGCGGCAGCGCCCGGATGGAAAGAAGATGCCAAGGCTGGAGAGGGTGGTCCTGGGTGGGGGTCTGGGAACAGGCTCCTGGCAATCCCAAACCTGCCAGACTGGGGTCTCCAGCGCAGGCCATCTCTGCGAAGGCCCTGGAAATAGGGATCCTGGGATATAGATTCCCCCCAAATCAAGGACAGGGCTACATAAATTCTAGGTATAACTCCCTGGGCAAGGTTTGGTGTTCAGGGTCCGGGACACAGTTCCTTTTTTATCAAGCTAAGGCCTTAACTGAGCCGATTCCAGACAAAATCCGTACTCTTCCCTGCCAGAGGGGTTCGTCGAGCACAACAACCCCTGGTTGAGGTCTTGAAGATGAGGTCCCTGGATAGAGCTGCCAAGGCCAAGGCTGAGGGGGGTGGGGGTTCGTCCAAGTACTGTCTACTCCCAGGGGTCCTGGTTCCAACCTGCCCCCCTCCCCTCAGCCTTTGGGCGGTGTCCCAGGCAAATCCCCTTCTCAAAACAAGGTCCCTGTGTCTGGAACTCCACCCTAGCATGAATAAAATAAGGAGAATTTCAGGCATTCCCCTACCCCCACCTCCACCCCATGCTTAGTCAGGGGTCTCAAGACATTGGTCTCCTAGGCCACCCCCTTTGTCCCTAGGGCTGCTCAGCTGTCTAAGAGAGGCCCCACCCGGAGACAATGCTCAGCTTTCTCTTGCCAGACCTAACCCCCCAGACTCCAGAATTCAGCCTGGGCTGGGGGCGGCTCCCCAGAGACCCGGTGGAAACCTGTCTGCAGCCTCTGTGGTGACCAGCGGCTTTGTGTGTGGTATGGGGTGGGGAGGGTGCAAGGGTTGGGGAGGTGGCTAGAAGTGTGACCTGGTGTTTGTGTGACTGTGTGTGTGCTTGCCTTGCAGCTGGCAAGGATAAGGAATCCTACGTTGTCTATCTGCATGCTTGTGGTTGGATGTGGTGGTGTGTGTGTGACCCCAGTGTTTGTGTGACTGTGGATGTGAATGACAGCTGCTCACTGTACAGGCTCCTCTACTTTTTAGATTATGTTTAGATGGATGCGTGGTTGGGAGTTTATATCTGTGGTCATGTCTTTTGTGACCCTGTGTGTGTGTGTGTGTGTGTGTGTGCACATGCGTGCGTGCGCTATGGTATGTGTCAACATCTGTGTTGGGTTTGGACTTATGTGTGTGTCTGACTGAAGATGTGGGTGGAGTTGTGACAGTGTGTAAGTAGAATTGTGACTGTGACTGTGGCCATATGTGGCACAAGGCTGTGCTTATGTCTAACTGATTTTGTAGATGTGAGTGACACTGCATTCAGTGCAACTCTGGGTGTGTGAGTGCCATTGTATTTGAAGTCATATTGTGCCCATGTGACTGGGTCTGTGGGATGGCAGTGTGTATGGCGGTGGTTGTGTGTTCCTAGCCATGTCTGTATATGTGACTGGGGCTGTATAAATGGCTCTCCACCTAGCTGTGTGATACTGAGTGTGTACGACAGGCACCTACGTGTGATTTGAGTTGTGAATATCTGAAACTCTTGTCTGTTCCGAAAGGTTAGTTGTATGGGACTCAAGCTATGGATGTTGCCTACGTGCACTGGGAGTACGGAGGTGACTGACTTCTATTCCTCTGTGTGCGTGTGCCTGTGTGTGTATGACCCAGTTGTCTGTGACCCTGGGTGACTCTGCTGGTGTCCTAGACTGTGAAAGTGTGTGTGCGTATGTGTGTGTCTATGTGATTTGGTGATGAAGTGACTATATACGCTGTGTCTAGGACCATGTTTTCCATGGAAAGCCAGCTATAAATGCTATGACTAGGTCACTCCATTTATGTGTACACCTAAGTGTGTACTTGTGATGTGGAGAATTGAACTGTGTGTTTTAAGTTAAGTTTTTTTGTTTTTGTTTTTGTTTTTGTTGTTGTTGTTGTTGTTGTTTTGAGACAGCTTTTCTCTGTGTGTAGTTTTGGTGCCTGTCCTGGAGCTCTCTCTATAGACCAGACTGGCCTTGAACTCACAGAGATGCACCTGGCTCTGCCTCCCGAGTGCTGGGATTAAAGGCATGCGCCACCACCGCCTGTTTTTTTTTTCTAAAGAATTTATTTATTTTTATTTTATGTGCATTGGTGTTTTGACTGCATGATTGTGTGAGGGTGTCAGATCTTGGAGTTACAGACAAGTATGAGCTACCATGTGGGGTGCTGGAGTTTGAACCTGGGTCCTCTGGAAGGTGTTTTAAGCTTCTGTGTGTGAGATTTTGATATTAATGGGGCTGTGACTTTGTCTATCTGTCCACGTAGGGTAGTGATTGATTATATGTGGCCACATTCTTGTCTACGTGACTTGAATCCTCATGGAGACTGTTTCTCTGTGATAGGATAACATGGTACTGCTGTGTATGGGACACCAACATGACAGATGGCTGGGCACCATCAGCACTGATGCAGAGTAACTCCATACACAACTGTTTCTGTTATGTATGTGCCTGTCAAAGGGCAGCCATCCTTGGGTCCCTCAACCTTTGGCTGATTGTATGCTGTGTCTGTAATGCTCGGGCTGTGGCCATCATATCTGCAATGTGCGGCTGTGTATAGAGTGGTTTGTACGTAACAGTGGTCGCCATAGAGGTGTATGTCGTGGCTATGATGACCAAATGTGGGCATGTCACTCGTCATGTGTGGCTCTGTGAAAGTGTGGAACCAAAAAAGGTGTGTTGATGTAACTGATACTGTTTGAGGTTGAATGGCCTTATGCAGCTACAGCTGTGTGTGACTGGGGTGGCGAGGGGGGAGAACGGGACTTGGGAAGGCCAGTGTGCCTCAGTCCTTGTAGGTGTGTGGGAGTGTATGCAGATGTGATTGTGCCACTGTATGGGTGAGCAAATAGGTGACCGATCTGTGTTTCTACCTGGGGTGTGTGCCTTAGGAGACACAACTGTCATGAGGTATAGTTGGACATGTATCAACCTTGTGCGTGTGCCTGGCCCAGCTCATTGTACATAGCTAAGAAAAGGAGTGAACAGTATCAGTTGTTGGTATGAACAGGTGCCTTTGTGGGCTGAGACACATACATGCATGTGGACAAATGGCCGTAGTAGAGCTGTGCATGCTGGTGAACACAAACATGTGGCCAGATGCTAGTGACGGCTGTGTCATATGACCTGAGATGTATAGCTGTTATGATGTCTGTGTCATAAAGTATGCTGAGCTGTGACCAAATGGCTAAGCAAACTGTTGGCTGCCACGTGTGAGTGGCTATGTTTGTGTATAATCCTGGACATGACACTAGAGGGCACAGCCACTCACTTCACATCATCCCTGTGGGTACTGAGGGACCCATCAGTGTCCCCCAACACACCTACTCCTTCCTGGGCCCTTAGAACCAGGTGGCTGGTCTCCCTAGTAACAGTTGCTATGACTACCAGGGTTCTTCCTAGGGAGCCTGAGATGGAGGGGGTTGGCTAAGGTCCAAGGTGGGGGTTGAGTAGGGCACTGAATACCCCTCAACAAACTTCTCATCTCCTCACTCCCTTGAGCAGGGTGGACCCAGGAGACCTGATCAGCATTCGTCCCCAGCCCCCTGTGGGGCCTCGGGGCCCCCTGAAACCTTCAGGACGGAGTCAGGTGAGTGACCAGCTTAATGAAGGACAGAGTTTTTATCATACATGGATCATGGTTGTGACTAGTGAGACCGGAGGAGCTGCCAACCACTGTCACACCGGCTTCATTGCGTACTCAGTGACCATCAAAGCCCCCACAGTCACAGACACAGATCCTAAACTTTCACCTGCAGACCAGACACCAACAGCCTCTTACATGCAGTGATTATGTGCAGATTAAACTCTTGCAGGCATACACACTCAGACCCTCACACACCCATAGATTTATAGTTCAAGCTACATACATAGATGATCTCCACATGCTTGTCAAAAT